CACGTCATTGACACATGGGTGACAAATAGTTAAACATCAAATCTAAAAGTGGCAAAAAGTTCAATGTCTCCAATTTATCAACTCCATTGGCCTACCCAAATCTAGCTTGCTCTCTGATCACGGCCGTCTCATGACTCGTGAGCGAGATGTAGGATACAACTAGAATGGGATAGGGAAGAGACGGTGACCACCAATTTTCCAACCCTGTAGGCTTACCCGAGTCTATCTTGCTCCCTGACCATGTACGATCGCTTCACGACTCATGAGCAAGATATATGATACGGTTAGAGTTGAGAGATGCCCGAGTGAGATGATCTTATATTACGGTTTAATCTTTTGCGCTTGTTTGGTTTTTGGGCTACCTATAATTTTAAGGCTAGACATATAGGTATTTTTACTCACGGATTGACACGTATCGGTGACCAGATAACATACATAATAGCATACCCAAAAATTTGAGAATTGAACTAAATTTAGCTTTTAAAAGAATAAATATCCAAGAGTCTCGGATCACAGACCCCATGCACCCATTGCCAATTTGCCATCTCTACCCAAGTGACACCACAGTACAAGCAAACAAGACACAAGCCTTGTTTGGATCCTCCGGGATATTAAATAGCCCTCCGGAATCTTGCTATTTAGGAGTATTAAACGTAGATTACCGATAAAACCGATTCCATAACCCCTAGGCTATTTTGCGAGACGAATCTAATGATGTATATTAATCCATAATTAGCGGCTGATTACTGTAGCATCACTGTAGCAAATCATGGATTAATATACCTCGTTAGATTCGTCTCGCAAAATAGCCTAGGGGTTATGGAATGGGTTTTGTCAGTAATCTACGTTTAATACTCCTAAATAACAAGATTCTAAAGGGCTATTTAATAGCCCTCCGGATCCAAACAGGGCCACAGTTTGTCAACAAATGTTTTGCTTGGACCATCAGCTTTGTCGCCGGGCAGGCATCATCATTTTCGGCCGGAAATAGAGTACATGCACTACTATCAGATATGTACTGATATCTAAAAGGGTTGCGACAAGGGGATCCCTTATCACCAATTTTATTTAATTTGTTGGCGGATATGTTGGCAATTCTAATCAATAGGTCGACTGAAAGAGGAATGACATGAGGTGTAATACCGAATTTGGTAGATAACGGGCTGTCAATTTTTCAATATGCAGATGATACCATTATCTTTATGGAAAATGGTACTAAGTGCCTATGAGAAGCTTTCAGGCTTAAAAATCAATTTTCATAAGAGTGAGATGTTCTGTTACGGAAAAGCTAAGGAAGTAGAAAATGCATTTTCTTTTCTATTTGGCTGCAAGATAGGGTCCTACCCTTTCAGATATCTAGGCCTTCCAATGCATTATAAAAGGCTGGCAAACAAAGACTGGAAGGAGTTAGAGGATAGATTCGAAAAAAAGCTTAGTAGCTGGAAAGGAAAGTTTCTGTCAACACGAGGGAGGTTACTCCTTATCAATTCAGTGCTAAGCAGTCTAGCAATGTATATGCTTTCATTCTTTGAGATACCTAAAGGTATCTTAAAAAAACTGGACTATTATAGATCCAGATTTTTTTGGCAATGTGATGAACATAAAAAGAAGTATAGGCTGGCCAAATGGAGTGTACTTTGCAAACCCAAGGAGTGTGGAGGTTTAGGGATTCAGGACTTAGAGATTCAAAATAAGTGCATGCTTAGTAAATGGATCTTTAAGTTAATCAATGAAGAGGAAATTTGGCAAAATTTTCTTAGAAAAAAATATTTGGCAAAAAAAAAACCATTCTACAGGTTCAAAAGCAATAAGGAGATTCTCATTTCTGGGCTAGTCTCATGACGGCAAAAGAATCATTCCAATTACTTGGACACTTTAAGGTGAGAAATGGGAAACAAGTTAGATTTTGGGAGGATTGTTGGATGGGAAACAAATCTCTTGAGAAAGAATTTCCTAATTTGTACAACCTGGTTCAAAATAAGAATACAGTAGTTGCTAAGGTTTTGGAAACGATACCGTTGAATGTGTCCTTTAGAAGAGCGATAGTTGGGAAAAACTTGAAAGATTGGTATGTCATTGTCTCGAAAGTGGCTAATGTTAACCTGACAAGTCATCTTGACCAATTCATATGGAAAACTAATAAACAAGGGTTGTTTACCGTAAACTCTATGTACAAGTTACTTATGTTTGATGATGTAATACCTAGGAAATCTTTAATTTGGAAGCTAAGAATTCCATTAAAGATTAAGATTTTCCTATAGTATTTGAATAAAGGGGTGATTCTAACAAAGGATAATCTAGCTAAGAGAAGATGGAAGGGCAGCTTATTGTGTAGCTTTTGTAACTCTAAAGAGTCGATACAACACCTTTTCTTTGATTGTATAATGGCTAGATACATATGGAGTGCGGTTTATTTTACTTTCGGGGTTAGACAACCCAGAAGTTGCGCTCATATGTTTGGTAATTGGTTGAATGGTTTTGAACCTAAACTCAAAAGACAAACTTGGGAGGGCATAGCGGCAATTTGTTGGGCTTTGTGGCTTAGTAAGAATGACATAGTCTTTAACGGCTACAATCATATTTCTTTCTTACAGGTAATATTCAAGGCAACTCATTGGGCAAGGCTTTGGTCTTTGCTTCTTAAAAAAGTTGAAGGAGAAAAAGCTCAAGTCAAGTGCAGAATTTTGGAGAAGCGAGTTATGGAGTTCTTCTCTACCTTTGGATGGAATTTTCGAAGAAGAATTGAAGTTTAGCCTCTATTTCTCTTTAATCGTTTGTTAAACTTTTATTTATGTGTCCCTATGTAATGGGAGGAGTCTTTTGTACTCGTGACTATGGTTTTAGCTGTGTACACCCTCGTAAGGTGTAAAGGCCGGGTTTAATATAATCCATTATCTAAAAAAATGTACTGCATTCTGAGATATATAATGCATGTCGCCGTGACACGGCAGCACAGACAATGGCACAACGGGCAACAGATTGGGACACGATCAACTGAGAAGGACCAGACGTCGCTGCCGCCTGCTGCCGTGACATTGGCATGTGGCCGCATATATAGCTATAGCTAGCAGGCGATGAACGGTCGCCAAGGGTTGTGATGACCGTTCATCGCCGAAAGACGCGGCAAGGCCAGAGAGATGCGGCATCTGCACACAGTACTGCACATTTCCTGTGTTGATTACGCTCACCTCACCAGACAAGTCCAAACACAAAACTACGACATACTCCCTCCGTCCCAAATAAAAAACAAACTCTGGATTTCTGTGTTCAACGTTTGACTTTCCATCTTATATATAATTTTTTATAATTAGTATTTTCATTGTTGTTAGATGATAAAACATGATTAATAATTTATGCGTGAATTTGTCTTTTTAATTTTTTTATATTTTTTTTCAAATAAGACGGACAGTCAAACGTTGGACACGGAAATCCAGGGTTTGTCTTTTTTTTTTGGACGGAGGGAGTATACAGGTGTAGTTTTCTTTTTTGGCTCTTTGGAACGCAAAAATATCGTCCCCCCTGACCCAAAGTAGATGTAACTTCATGATTAAAAAAGAAGATTAGGAATGGAAAGAAAATGATCCTCGTTATATTCTTCTTTAGATAGTGGAAAAAGAATCTCAGCCTTTGCATCATGTGTGATCCTTATTAAATAAGAGATGGTTCGTGATTAGAGTAAATAGGAAGAAATTCGAATGAACGTTGGTTAGTTAGATGAAAAATATTATTTTAGGATTGCACCAAGTTTTATAATATTAAATACTAGAATGGTACTTTCTCCGTTTCATATTATAAAACTTTCTAGCATTGCTCACATTTATATATATGTTAACATCTATAACAGAGGAAGTAATATGTTTCGGGACAAAGGAGTAGGATTATCTTAAGTTCTTTTTAACTTTTTTTTATCACGGATTATTTGCTACACGCTTGTAAGAATACGATTTCTTAAAAAAATAACTTCTATTATATTGTTTACACCACTTGTTCTAAATTATTTGTAAAGTTTATTTTTAAAATATTAATTTATTGTGTTAATCAAGTAAACAATATGTCTCAATATTCCATTAAAAAATATGTTTCAAACTGGGCCTTCAAACCCGATAAAATCTTATATTCCTCCGTTCCGTTTCCAAGAGACCTCATGCTTTTTTACATGTTTCAAACAGCAGTTGTGTTTTTGAACGTAGAGGGCCTATATCACCTACTTTCTCCGTCTAATAAAAAATCAACTTCTGCTTATGAATTTAAACATCTCTTTGTCTAGAATTATAATGAGAAGTGCTAGATTAGATTCGTAGTAAAAAAATGATCTTTTATGGGCAGAGCGAGAGAGTATCCGTGATGATTGGTGAGCATCTCACCGTCAAACGAAGACGAGATGTGAGGTTTTTCTCGACCTGTCAATTGTCACAGTACAGGCGCCAGCAAAGACGTGCCTTTCGATCGCTCGCTTGCACTCATGAGCTGATCAGCCTCACGGACCTGCCATACTTGAACTCAATAACGTCAAACCTGATGCGTACGATCCAACTGGTCAGGTTGGTTCTCCAATCCCAGCTGTTTACTTCAGTTTTACATTCACAAAATGCAGAATCGAATCGAATGTTACTCCCTCCGTCTCATAAAATACCAACCTAGTACTGGATGTGATATATTCTAAATAATACACTAAGATGGTGTTTGGATGGGAGGGATTTATTTTAGTCCCTCTCACAAAAAAAACCTAGATCCCATCCCAAACAGCCCCTAAGGCTAGTTAAATGGAGTATACTTTTGTGCATGTGGCTTGTTCTTTTTGGTTGGATATTTGCTTGCAAACTCTATATGTTTTTTTTATGAGAAATATATATTTTTCAAGTTAAGAACTTCAGATATATATAAATTTTAAATCTGTTGTAACGTACTCCAAGTATAGGCGTTTTGCTAGTGTTAGAAAGAAACCGTTGTTTAATTTTACGTCCATATCCATACCCTTGGTTTGAACTTTTTTTAGACGATGATAACCTTGTTTTAACCGTAAGAACCACCGCCGAATTCCAATCAGAGACACGTCCATGTTCCATCATCGCCCAGTGTTTCCCTTTCACCGTCTTCATGTCCCGAAATGAATCATGAACAAGACAGCAATAGGGGACAGAAGGAGACGTACGGGTATGGTCTCTGAGGCGAGATGACGGAACGGATGGCATCATTTGTGTGTAGTAGTGGTAAACCCAGCGCTTCTGTACCCGTACACCGACACCTCGCGGCGTGCCCGGCTCGGTTCGTTGAACGTGGACGCCTTCTCGTCTGCGATCTTCGCGGCTTCACCATCATACCTGCAACTGCAACCCCCATTTCCCACCTATAAAAAGGAGATCCAAACCGCGAAGACACCCGGAGCAACACGCCACGCGAACGAACTCCACCCCATTTCCAGCGCTTTGAACCTTCCCGCTCTTGCGGCATTGTGCATTTTGAGATGGCGAGGAAGGTGGCGGTGGCGGCCATGGACGCCAAGGAGGCGGAGGAGGTGATGAGGAGGAACGCGGCGCTGGAGGCGGCGGCGGCGGAGGCGGCGGCGAGGGAGGAGCGGCTGCGGCGCGAGCTGGAGGCGGCGCTGGCGGCGCTGGCGGTGGCGGAGGAGGCGGAGGAGCGGCTGTGCGTGCAGCTCGGCGAGCTGGAGGCGGAGGCGATGGCGCAGGCCGTCGAGTACCAGCAGCAGGTCAGGGAGCTCTCCGACCGCCTCGCCTTCGCCGACGGCGTCCTCCGGTCGTCGTCCGGCCGCCGCACCGCCGCCGTCGCCGCCGGCATGGACTGACCGACGAACGAACGACCAGGTTTAATTTTCAGTGGATCATTGCTAGGGTGTTGTATGATGAAGCATGTACGTTTTCTTTTTTCCCTCTTTGCTCCGATGGAGTGAAGAAGTGGTGTGTACTTTGTGTGTGTGATCTGTGAAGGGCAGTAAAATTTACCTGAGATGTATATACATGCTGAAAGAGATCAGTCGTTGTTGGGTACTGATCCTTCAGGTTTCCAAAGGCCAAAGCTATAATTGCCGAAAGTAAACAGAGGCAGGACCTCTTCGTCGACTTTGGATGTCTGGCAAAAGCTCGACTTGGATTAAGGTTGAAGCTTGAACGCTACAGCTTCAGTCTTTTGAATTGACCCTGTGTCCCTGTTGACATGAACTCAAGACTTGGTTTGTTTTGGGCAGAGTGAACTCAAGACCAGTATTTTCAGAGAAAACTGGAACAGGGCTTAACGAATTAAGCAACCGAAAGTCTTTCAGAGACAGAATTGAGTTAAACTATAACGAGCTCTCAGGGTAACCACAAAAACGCCATCAAGAGTTCATCTACTTTCAGAGGCTGTGTTTAGAACTAAACTTCAGTCCTTTTCCATCACATCAACCTGTCATACACACAACTTTTCAGTCACATCATTTCCAATTTCAATCAAAATCCAAACTTTACACTGAACTAAACACAGCCAGAGTAGTAAATAAAAAGAGCACTGAAAATAATCAGACAACGACATGAAACCAATAAAGTAGTACTACATCTCTCCCTTCATAATGGATTTTTTTAGAAGTAGGGGATTGCAACTGTACACGGCCAGCTCAATCAGTTCACCCCAATAAAGCACGCAGATGATGTAGAAATTTGGCCACATAATATGTAAAACTGAGCTAAAATATAACGAAAGTGAAATCAATCCAGTGGATATAGAAAACCTATAGAGCACACAGATGAAACGAAACTGTATGAGATACGACCTCGGTTAGGCCACACAATGAGAGAAAACGACTGCACCACCAGATGATAAATCAAGCTTTTTTTTTCTCTCTCTAGACTTTTCCATGAAACGTCACCGATATCGGTACAATAAAAAGTAAACTAAGAGCACTATTTTGATCACAATCTGTACAAAAATCATCATGTAGAAACAATTAAACTTCAAGCATGTTGGTTGCAGAGTAAAAGAAAGAAAGGACAATAAACTAGGAACACTAGAAAAATGGTAACTATACGAATCATAAGGATTAACCAACTGCATGGCGTAATAGTTCATCGCATGGTGAGGTGCCAGTTTGGTGCCCCAGTGCCAAAAAAAAAAAAAAAAAAAAAGAAGAAGAAGAAGAAGCAAATCCATTGGGCTCCCGATGTTTGGCTATAGGAATTACGTTGCAACAGGGTATTTGTGAAAGAGGAAAGTGTAGTGTAGTGCGTAAAAGGTTGCTTGCTAATCTATTTTCCCATTTCTGTGCTTGGATACAGATACAATGATAAACATGGACACTCCTCATTCATTTATTCTTCTGCAAACACTTCCATCAAGAAAATTATCCAATTTTTATATTTCGTAAAAGATAAACATCATCACTGGAATAGTGGATGGGTGTTTGCAATTACTGAAATTAGAGGTCGAACATTTTGATGACTAGGACATTTGCGCAATGAGCTTGTTTAAAGAATCCAAGAGGATGTCATTAATAAGATAGATGAAGTGATGATTGGAACCTCTTTCAAACATGATTTGACCTGTATACAGTACTACAGGTATGGTGTTATTTGAAAAGGTGCCTAAAAGATGGGAACCTCACAGTATGGGTACTCCAGTGAAGTCAGAAAATCAATGAGTAAATTTTCTTCAGGTAAGGCTGTGTTTAGTTCCACGCCAAAATTGGAAGTTTGAAGAAATTGGAACGATGTGATAGAAAAGTTGGAAGTTTGTGTGAGTTTGATGTGACGGAAAAGTTGGAAGTTTAAAGAAAAAAGTTGGAATCTAAACAGGGCCTAACTTCATAGTATATTTCATAAGAAAGAAAGATCAACTTGTCCATCGTACTAACAGGATTCAATTGAACAGAAAACAACTCAAGAGGCGCAAATTCCTTTAGGACTCACGCCGTGTTTAGTGCCAAAGTTATTCTTCAAACTTCCAACTTTTCCATCACATCAAAATTTTCCTACACACACAAACTTCCAACTTTACCGTCACATCGTTCCAATTTCAACAAAACTTCCAATTTTGGTGTGAAGTAAACACAGCCTCAGGGGACTATAAAATGTAGCAAAGACTAAAGAGCGATAATTGGCGTTGAACCAAAAATGTGATGCAGAGAGCTTGAGGACTGAGGCCCCATCATGACCCCTCCACCTCCCCACCACCCACCAAAACAAGTGGTATAGAGTTTGCCATGTTCACCTTGACAGAAAAGCTTTGCTTCTTATGAAATTCCCATAACAAAAAAAATGTCTACATCAAGGTTTAATATTTGGCAATCAAGATATCTTTGTTTTTTCTTAATCTTTTTTCTTTTGGTCTATGGTGCCAATTCAAAAACAGGCTTCCGTGGTTAATTGATAAAAAAAATGTAAACTGTTGCGCATAGCGGACTTTTTAGTTGGAGGTGATTTTTACTAGTAGTATCTTTTATTAATACTATTTAATACAGAGTAGGTTGCAAATAATGTGGTTTGCTACAACATAGCAGCAGAGAGTTTTGTAGCATACACAGAATTGGGCCAAGTAGTATTGTCAAATTCAGTGTACACAAACTTGGGCATGAGCATTGTTTGAAGTTTAGTAGCGACCAGTTTTACCAGGCCAAGACACAAGACCAACATGTCCTACTTTCTGAATAGACTACCACAAATTTGTCTATATCGGCACAGTGGTATGGTCCATGTGATAGCTTTGATCCAAAGGAGGCTCTTCTAGAGACATCAAGGAAAAATCTGTCCAATTATAGAAACGGCATGTGTTGTTTTTTTGGGTGAACCCCCTCTTTTGGGAAATATATGCGCATTAATGTGACACCCCATAAACTTAAAATTACATATCTGTTTTTGAAAGAAAGTCAAGATTTTTCTTGTCAAGCTATACAAAACATTTTTCACTCAACCGAAAATTCAGAAATGCCCCCACAAATGCATGCCCCTAAACAGGTATAGCAGCAGAAGGTTTTGTTTTATGATGATGCAGGTATTAAATTAACTTCATAGTTCACAGCAGCAGAGATAGTAGTTAGTTCCAGTAACCCTACAACCCAGGTATCATATGTAAGTACTTAAGAAAGTTGTTTATATCGTTTATCAAGCTTCATGTCGGCTCCAATGGCATGCAAAAGGACCCAAGTATGCAAGGAGGTCAACAATTTGTTCAGGAAAAAGCTTTAAACAATTTTCTGTGACAAATTGATAACAATCTACAATAAACGGCATTATGACAAAAGGAAGTTCAGCTAATATCATCTGTTGCGGGCTCACACCAAATAGAATTATAAACCTATCTGACTATTTTGTTTAGAAACAAACATATCTTATTTACTCATTGAATAGAGTGTTTATTTAATCCACCATTGGTTAATTAAACTAAAACAAAGCCCAACAACATCAATTATAATTTTGCAGATAGGTACAATTTTTTACATTGCATGAGCATTGACAACAGATGTTGAAGACTCCCTGCTAAGGGGCAGAAGAACTCTATGCAATAAAAGGGTAGTGCTGGAGTTATGTGGCATTGATACAAATAACTGATGAGATAAAATACATTCAGTGTTGTATACATGTTTGCTAATGCACAAGATATAAAGTGAGAAGGTGCTAACTAACTGAACTAAAACTGACGATTGTTTTGGCATGCAAGTTCTTTTTTTTCCCAAAAAAAAAGAAGAAGAGATAATAAGACAATAATCAGATTTCATATGAAAAAGGGACTTGTAAAGTGTTGCTAACTTTCTAACTATATATACCTCTTGCATGGGTTCAATTGCCGCCTTCAAATGGTATACTCCTGGTAATTCTGAAATCATCACAAAAGAGGCTGTGCTCTTGTGAAAATAAAAACTCCTCCACCACCAACCGATCGCCCCAGGAGCATATCGCGGTCAAGGTAAGAAAGATAATATAGTCCTCCGGGTGATCTCCTGAGATTTTAATTAAACTGGAACTTACAGAACACAGGAAGCAAGAAATGAAAGAACATACACTGGAAACATACCTTTCAGGGCCATTAACAGGAACTTGAGCTCGAAAAGTTTTAAGGAACTGCAATATCTACAATAATAAACATGCTGCAATGAAATTCTTGTCTGATGGTAAGGTAAATCCTAACTGCAATACACATCTCAAATGCACAAATGCTGGTCCTAAATGTTAATAACTCCCCATTTCATCATTCTCTTTTCAGAGCAGAAGTGCAGAACAGAAAAACATTAATATTTGTATATTGTGGATACTAGTAGCTCCTAAAATTGGGAATAACTCTTATAGATGGATGCCTAAGTTTGTCGATGACAAAAAAGGGGGGAAAACAGACGAAAGAAGTTAAGAAGGAATAAGGGTAACATGCAAGTAAAAAAAGGAAATTACCTGAAGACTAAAAAATGACCGAGGGAGTATAGCAGGAGCTATTAGTGCTTGTAGCTGCTCACTAATCTTGATATTTTCTACAACAACCTGTTAAACGATGGATCATAAGTAGCAACTAAACTAAATATCAAAACCACAGAAGAAGAAGATTGATAATGAAAAACTAAAAAAGAGAAACAAAATGAAAGCATAATAGTAACTCTCTAGAGGGCATAACTATAAAATTGTGGATGACAATAGCAGAAAATGAATAAAGCACAGAATGACTCATATCCATGAACAAGAAAACTGGAATTATGTAATAGATGATTTGGGTAGGCTGCTTCATCCTTCGGTTGGTTGCTAAAAGAATGTTAGAATTATGAAGATATAATGTGTTTCATCATGTATACATCATAGCACCATCTTGCACGAGAATACAATCATGGAGAATGCCAACTGCTATACTTCATATGCTACTTGGTGAGAGGATATCACATCCCTGCTAACCATAGCATGCTGAAGTAAGTATAATATAACTACATGGATGCCATTTTTTTTTCATTTGTAACACTTGAATCAAATAAGAGGTTTATATATTATCAAATCAGAAAATTACCTCCTCAAATTGAAGGAAGATGTTGCGCTTAGACATGACAGCAAATTTTGCAGAGACCATCAGTGTTGCACCCTCTTGCTCCTATAGAGAGCACAAAAAACAATCAAGCATAAAAGAGCTAAAAAACATTGAGATTAAACACTAGAAATTAAATGGTGGTTTATCAATAATACACAATGATCTGGAAGTCTACTGTTTACATAATGCAAAAGATGAAAAAAGAACAAGCATTTTTCCTATCTGAAAATTCGAGTTAGATTGCACTACATGAAAGAAAAAAAAGGAAGATGATTCCATAAAGATAAAATAATACTATTTGTGGAAATAATAAATTCATAAACATTTCATAGACGTTTTAAATCACTGCAAAGCTGTAACTATCATACTTTTATGTATATCAACACTCATGGAGATGAACAGTTGCCATGTTGAGAGTTAGACTATAGAACAACATAATCAGCCTAGAGGAAGGTCATTTTCCTGACGCTGTTGAGATACTAAAGGCAAAGCAAGATTGCATGTTGGTCAGCCTACCAGAAACTTCAAGGTAACAATTAAATCATCCTTTTGCATATTGTCTTATCACAATTAATAGCATCCGTACAACATAAAAATGTAAACAGTTGAAATTCCAGCTACATCTCATCTCAAATGAATGAAATCAGATGTAAGGATGAATGGATGATAAAAACTACTACCAACTGTAAGGTGAAGTTAGGATCATGAAACAAAAGAGAAATTTAGGAAAGTACCACCGCAAAGATGTGTGAACTAGAAGATACCACAGCATGTGAAAATTACATGTGCAGCCCAGGACTACATGGCGCATGTCAAGGACACATGGTGTATTCCAACTTTGCGATGGCACCAAACAAGATGGCCACAAAGAGAAACACTCTTGAGAAGAAACTGAAGAAAGGAATAAAGATAGACGCACATTAAAAATTTTACCTCCAGCAAGTTCTCAATGCTCCATCGCACAACATTCCGCACAACCCCACCATCTGACCTATCCTTGCATTCGAATTTCTGGTATATTTGCCCCACCTGTATCCATAAGCACAACCCCCATCACATGGCTGAATGGATCCCAACCCTTACCTCAATCTGTAGTTCACAATTACAATATCACAGAGCAATTGTACTACCAGCTGAAGCAACTTTTTAAATCTCTAATAGTTCAAGCTTTCATGAGAATGCTGAAGTCGCCAAAACAGATCGAAATTAGACGCTAATTTTCACCCAGCATTTCACACATTATCAGACATTTCCATTTTTTTTCCTTTCTGAGAACTGCTAAAATTATGGCATGATCGGCATCTGCAGTTGCTAAGGACTAAATTATTGTCGAATTAGTCAACGAAATCGATGAACAGACAGAAGTCACCTGCAGGAGGGGGAGCCTCTCGGCGGCCTCGAACAGCACGCGCACGTCCGACGCCGAGGTGTAGCACAGCCTCCACGTGCCGTCGAGCGCCGCGAGGTCCAGCGGCGACCCCTCCCCGGCGCCGAGCTCCTCCACGCTCACCTACACAACAACAAAGACGCAGCACGCAAATCGGGGTTTCCCCCCACCCAGCCTAACACGAAGGAGAGATGAGAGATTCAAATGTGTAGGGGTCTCCGGTCTCGTACGATGGCCTCCTCGATGGACGCGCGCTGGTCGGGGCTCGCCGCGAATCCCCTCCCCGTCTCCTGCACCGCCCGCAGCAGCTCGTGCTTCCGCCGCTCCGTGTCCGCCGCCTGCAAGCAAGCAGCTCTGGGGGTTAGCCCCGCGCAGCGTACTTCCCACCACGAGAGGAACAGTGCGAGGCGCAGTACCAGCGAAGCCGTTGCCGCCGCCGCGGCGGCGCGGCGCGGTTGCCTGCTGCGCTGAGGGCGAAGGCGGACGCCGTTGACGGAGTTACACGCCAGGAGAGGCGGCGGCGTCTGCGCCGGCGGTGGGGAGGGTGGGGAGATCGGGAGGCGGAGCAGGGGAGCAGCGGCGAGCGCCATTTCAGGGTGGAGTCGAGTGGATGGCCGTGGCTTGACCGCTGCCACTGCTCGGCCCCGTTTGATCAGGAAGCGTCCACACGCCCGCCGTCATCTCCACTGGTCCAAATTTAGGCCTGGTTTTTGAGGTCCAAAATGTATGGGCCATACTCGTGGAAAGGCCAAGATTGTGGGCTCCTGAAATTTTTTGGAATAAGTTCACCGGAGGTCCCTTAATTTGACAGCGATATTTTTTAAGGTCCCTCAACCACAATACCAGAAAGAAAGAAATGTTCACCCCTAAACTTACTAAAACCGTTCACCGGAGGTTCCTCGGCAGTATTTTTGCCCGGTTTTACTGACGTGGCATCCTAGTCAGCAAAAAATTATATATATATATATGTGGGGCCCGCATGTAAGTGACAAAAAAAAGTGAGGTCAACAATCCTAGTCAGCAATCGGCGCAGACGGGGGGAGCAGCAGCGGCGTGCGGCTGGAGGCAGGCGGAGCGGCGGCGTCGGCGGGCGAGCGGCGGAGGGCGGAGCAAGCAGACAGCGACGGGGCTCCTCGGGGCTCATCTTGGCACACCGCTGCGCGACGACGAGTAGGTCCTCGAGCACGACGCGCTCCTCGCCCCCGTCGGCCTTGTCGAGCGCGCCGACGAGGTCCCCGGCAAACACCCCGAGCTCGGCGTCGACCTCCTCCTTGAGCCTGATGAACTTGGTCCTGATGGCGCCGATGAACTCCTCCGGGCTGTTCACGCACCCGCGCGGCTTCCGCTGCTGCAGCCGGTGAAGGAGCGGCCCACGCATGTTGAGCTCGTGCGAGAAGCTCTTCACGTCAAGCGCCGCTTCCTCTGCCCGCTCGTCGCCCGCAGGATCGCCTTGAACCGCCGCCGCTGTCCTTCTGCTGCACCAAACAACCACCCCGGCATTACATCGAACACCTCATCTGCATCCACTACCAACCCTGCCCGAGGATGACGACGACGACGAGGAGCCCATCAACCTCTTCTTCACCGGTAAGAGGGCGGCGGCGGCGGCGGCGGCATGAGATCCTTCAACGCCTTCGATGCCCTCGCGGCCGAAGAAGAAAAAGAAGGGCAGCATCAAGGGCTGAGATGAGGCCGGCGGGAGAGGGGGTGGCGCGCCGCATAGGCGAAGAGGTTGCCGCTGACCGCTTGCCGCTGCTCCGCAGCCGTACTTGCCCCCCGCCGCTCGCCGACTAGGCCCCCCGCTCCGCCGCACTCGCCCGCCGCTGCTCCGCCTGCCGCGCTCGTGGAGGAGGTCAACCAACACGACGATGACGTCGGCGGTGAAGAGCTGGAGCATGACGAGCGCCGCTGTCCCAGCCGCCTCTCCCCCCCTCTCCAGCCGCGCCGCAGCCCCTCCTCCTGCTCCGGCCGCGCGCCGCCGCGCGCTGCCGCTCGCCCTCTGCGGCCGCGCTCGCCCGCCGCTCCGCTTTCCACCGCCTGCCGCCGCCGCCAACGCTATGCAGCCTAGCTCGCACGCCGACACCGCTCCTCCTCTAAAAATGAAAGAGAAGAAGAGAAAAAGGAAAAGAGAGAAGATTGCTGACTAGGATTGTTGACCTCACTTTTTTTTTGTCACTTACATATGTGCCACACATATTTATTTTTTTATTTTTTGCTGACTATGATAACACGTCAGTAAAACCGGGCAAAAATACTGCCGAGGGACCTCCGGTGAACGGTTTTAGTGAGTTTAGGGGTGAATATTTCTGGTATTGTGGTTGAGGGACCTTAAAATATCTCGCTGTCAAAGTAAGGGACCTCCGGTGAACTTATTCCAATTTTTTTTGATCCATTTACTTGTATGGGATTAGAATTTGGAAGGAAAAAAGTATACATGGACTCCCTCAGCTATCGCCCGAGTATGATTCATGTCCTCCAACCATAAAACCGGGTATATCGATTCCTCCAACTATCAAAACCGGTGCAAAAAATATCTCTCGATGGTTTTGGAGGTTGTTTTGGCTGACATGGCACCTACGTGGCGGCCTTGACTAAGTCTTTGTCCTACGTGGGACCCATATGTCATTCACACCAAAAAAAAAGTATTATGGGACCCACCGACATGTTAGACCCACATGTCATCCTCCCTCTCCTTCCCTTCTTCCTTGCATGTTGGAGTTTTCAATCCATTTACTTGTATGGGATTAGAATTTGGAAAAACTAAATTTTGACTCTCTAAAATATTTGAGCATGTTGGTAAAGCTCCAACTTCTAAATTTAGCTCCAACAGTTAGGTTTAGAGTGAATTTGTGGAGCAGCCTAAACCCAGCTCTCAATTTGTGAGAACACTCCACCCAGCTCCGCTCACATTTTAGGTGTAGTTTAAACTTTTTGGCTGAGCTTCAGCTTCAAGAGAAATGGAGCTGGAGCTGAAGCTGTGCCAAACAGACTGTAACTATAATCTGATTTGTATCCCTCAAGCATGATATTAGATATATTGACCTCCAAACTATTAAAATCAATGTAAAATGATTTTCTCGGTAGTTTTGAAAAGATGTGGCTTGTTGACCTGATCCAATAGATCGAGTTAGCATGTACTCCCTCCATCCAAAAAAAGATAAACCCTATATTTTCGTGTCCAACATTTGACTGTTCGTCTTATATGAAATTTTTTTATAATTAGTATTTTTATTGTTGTTAGATGATAAAACATGATTAATACTTTATGCATGACTTATCTTTTAAAATTTTTTATAACTTTTTTAAATAAGACAAGACGGTCAAACGTTGAACACGGAAACCTTTTTTGAACGGAGGGAGTTAGGCCAACTGCCGAAGCAGGGTTGCCACCGAGGTCTCCACTGGCCCGCTGCATCTCCACACACGTCAGATTTGTGTGTGAACCAAGATTTAGAAAGCCATGATTTACTGTATCCTGAGCGCACAAAGTTCACGTGGTCGGAAACCCGTCAAATCCCTGCAAGCAGTTGTCGTTGCCGATGAGCCTTCTGCTTCTTTCTCGTACAGTATTTGGGAAAGTCGTGATTACCAAATGCTTAACCTCTTCTGCTCGACATGCATCCAGAGGAACCGTGAGATCCGCCACCACAAATGCCCAGGATGTGGCACCCCGTTTGGACAAGAGCAACGTCGCAAAAAAAAAAACAGCTGCTGCTTCGTTAACCTGCAGTGCTTCGATCTTGTGTAAATAACAGCTGCAGCTGCTTCTTCGTCAACCTGCAATGTTTCGATCTTGTGTAAATATTATAGTTCCTATTATAGTGTCATCTGTAGAAAGGACGATAGATAGATAGACCGAAATCATGGTATGACTTGCAGAAACCTCCATGGACGAAAAGCCAAAAATGTTAGGAGGAATATTTTTGTGCAAAGTTGGTATCTTTGCTATTAGCTGAAGCCTGAATTTCACAATTACTGATTTGTCGCAGTTCGTCAATACTGTTTTACACAAATTCCTGGGGATATGAAACCGGCAACAAAACGCACTTCATGAGCAAGGATGAATTGCAAAGGGCACGCCGGAGCGCACCAGTATTTTCATAATTAAATAGAAGAGCCAGGGTTTCACTTGTTTTTTTTAAACAAAAAAATACAGAACAAAATATGCTTGTGCTGAAGCAGGCTAGTCGGATAGAGCGACAGAAGTTGCAGGAATGTCTGCTGTCTCCAGAGAGTTTCTACTCCAAATTACAGATGATAGCTACTTTTTGTTGATCCCTCCAAATGCAACAGCTTGCTTGGGCACCCAAAGTGCAAGGTTCAGCTAAAGGCTAGCGCTCTTCTTCGATACCAGCCTAGAGTTTCAGTGGCTCTAGTCGTAGTACCAAAGCTTCATGTCTTCTGGGTCATGATCTGCAAAAGACATACAGCGTAGCGTTAGAACAAGCCGAGGAACAGAACATTTGTGATTGGGATTTACAAAATAAACACTCAAGCAAGCCATGGAAAGGAACATGCTTATGGAAACATATTACAAGAGATGGAATACGAGAGATTTAGTAATTGTGTATTGGATCTTACAAATTCTAAGATTGTTTTTGCATAATTTCTACCATGAATTGTGTCATCAGATTTAGTAAAGCTGTTCTTTTGATATTTGTTTAATTATTCAGAGTTGTAAAACGGATAACAAAATGTGCATAGTAGTGTCAGAATTACATGCTGGTACCAACCAAGTTTAGTGTGAAGACAAGTGTGACGAGATGATGTAGCTAGTCACTCCTACAGATGCAAGGGGTTATAGGGAACACTATCTTATCCAATAAGGCGTTGATGTTATTGCATAACAAGCAATTACCTGGAATTGGAAATCATGCTGCTCAGCACGAGACGTAGTTATCAGATTAGGCTGCAAAAGGATCCAGGTGGTCCGGTGTAAGTAGTTCTTTTCCTCCCACAAGGTGACAGAACGACAGTTCAGCAGTTTACCTGCACAAGAAAGGAATGGGTTAACACTCAAAAAGAAAAAAAATCATACAAAAATAGTTTTATGAAAGATAAAAATATATCCACAAAAGTTAGCACCTGGAAGGCCCTGCAAAACAATAAATTTCAAGAGTAAAAACAAAGAACAGTGAAAAAAATGTTAGAAACATAACCTGCAAAAGAGAGAATCATGTAAAATACATAGGGTTTATATGAAAAGAAACCATAAATAAGTCGCACTTTACCAGCGGCCTGCCAGGCAACACACTAACAGCCTTGCAGAAATTTCAGTTAGTTCACACCCCCCATATAAGAACCAATTAATCTATAACAAATTTACAAAATCATTCATCCAATCAAGCTATTCACATAGTTGATATGTTGATCATACCAACATGCACAAGATATAAGTATCCTTAAGAAGACATGGAATAGAAGGGTTATGGCGAAGTGCCATTAGAGTAAACACGATTAATGCAGTATAGGAAAATAATCTAAGCGATAGCATCAAATGATTATCAGAAAGTACTATGCAATTCAGAATAGGCGGTTCAACCAAAATTACGAGTTACAACAAGGTCCCATAAATTAGAACTGATACTACATAGACATTTATTCGGTGCATCCAAGGAGAGTCTCATATCCCTTCGTAAGTCTATAAAGAAGGAAGCTCTTATAGTTCCATCCTGTCAAAGGGAGAAAGGGGTCGAAACAACGGCATTAGCCAGCTGTGGGCAAGAAAAGACGGATTCTCGTTATCTCTAGCTCAGGTCCATGCCGTCTCCAACTTGGCTTGGGATTGGAGACACAGCGGTGTAGGACCTCTCGAAAGGGGATGGATGCAGTTGTGCACCTCGCCTGCGCTTAAAGGAGCACCCTTCGTTGCTGTCGACCTCATGCTTCCTCCGGATCCCCCTCACCGCCTGCTGCTCCAGCGGCGAGAGCGGGAACAGCTGCCCGCTGACCCGGCAGAGTGAGCTGTGGTTGTCGTAGAGGATCCTCTGGTTACAGTTTTTGTCGCAGATGTGCGTGGTCCCGGTCAGTTTGCAACGGTACATGTTGCCAAAGACGTGCTCGTTCTGGCAATTCTTGTCACACTTGTGACTAGGGATTGGCCCTTCTGTGTTAAGAATACTGGACAAGTAAATCACATTGCTGGGCTCAGCAATCACGGATTTTCCAAATACCTCCATTGCACTGCTGCTAAAATCTCTTCACAGATTCCCCTCTTTTCTCGGTTTCGGAGGGATCAGAAGTTTCTGCAACCCAAAACAAGAATTTCGTTCAGAATTTTGTTTTGGAGCTTTTGCTTATGACCCACGCTGTGCCACTGTACTTGTTGATACAACTGAACCGTGCGAATAATTTTGCAATATGAATTCCAAGAGGACCTAGCATATTCCATCCAAATTTGAATTGATATGAGAGGGGAAAAAAGTATCAACAGTGACCAGTACACCGCAACTGCCAAATCCCACCAAATCTGTCCGCATTTTGACCCCCCCCCCCCCCAAAACCCATCGAATTCCACCCACCAAACCCAAATTCGAGTCACGGATAATACAACTGGCATAAAACCAGCTACGATTTACTATATATTAAACAAAAAGAAAGTCCAAGATCCCCAATATTAAAATTCGCAGATACAAACAAAACATGACCTCCCCAAGTCAACACCCATCCCCCCTTCACCCCTCCTTCCAACCCTTGCAGGTGAACCAGAAACCTAACTGCTCCACCTCTTCCTCTCCACGATTTTTTACCAGATCTAAACAGTAAAAAAAAAACAACCACCTCACTACCCGCAGTAAATCCCCTCACGCACCGAAATCACTCCAACCCCCAACACCCCAACACCCCAACGCCCCCAGATCGACCGAAAACAACCCGAAAAGTAAATCCCCTCCCAAAAAAACAGCAGAAATCTCCGGTAAAAGAACCTCGCCGAACCACACAGATTGATTATTACATGCAGAAAACACGCACCGTAATCCACTCCAACCCCCAAGCCCCCAGATCGACCGAAAACAACACGAATCGTGACCCCCCCCCCACACACACACACACACACGAAACACCACAGAAACCTCAGGTAAAAAAAAAACCACGCGGAACTAATTACATGCGGGGAGAAGCGAAGAGCCAAACTTACCAGTAAGGCTCGCGACGCGCGGAGGAGCTCACAAGCGAAGATGGAGGGAGGAAGAAGCGGATGAAACAGCGAGCGGGGGACGCGGAAGGAGGAGGACCTCGTCCTCTCTCTCACTCTCGCAACGCCGCGTGGACCCGCGGAGCACCAACCTCGCAGCGAGCCGAGCGGAGCAATGGCAGGGAGAGGAGGGAGGAAGAGCGGAGGAGGGGGAGAGGCGGGGGCCGATTTATAGGATCCGTGGACTTGGAAATGACGGGAATGCCCCTCCATGGGCTTAGATGTCGACACGCGGCTCGGCTCGGCTCGCATGCTGTCCTTGGCTCATTCGCAGGCTACTCGGGCTCGGCTCGGCTCGGCTTGATTCTATCTTGTCTCGTGAGAGTAAGGGTCAAGCCACTTCGCTGTCATTTCGTGCTAATCATGTGGGGCCGGGGACAGGGGCCCACTTGTCAGTGTTGTGGTTGCTGCGTTAAAGGAAGAGATTAGAGAGAGGTATTTGTCGGATTTTCTTTGCACAAAAGGCCAAAAGGGATAAGTTAAGTGTCAGTGACAGGCCCGTGACTGACGACATTGCCTGTCCCTTGTAATCAAGTTATTTATCCCATATATAGTCTTTTTTTTTAATGGGAACTCGAGTCAGTTGTATCATTTTTAAGCACATAAATTTAATCAAACTTTTTATAACTCAACCATTCGCCCTTTATTAAATACTACACTTAGGTTAGATATATGAGAATGAAATTTCTTTTTGAAAGTACTTTGCATAATAAAATAATATACTCCTTAAGATAATAATTAGTGCTAAAAGTTACGTTAATTCTGTAAAGACCTTATCAACGTCAAACGCCATACATTTAGGATAAAGGAATAACAAGATTGCATCATAGCGCATAGCTTTATAATCTCGAGGCATGTACGTCCGTGCGTGAAAATTGATTTTCACAAATAACGTATGATCCAAATCTCCTGATGCATTTTTGCATACGTAACTTGTTTTTAATCCATCTGTAAAAATGATAAAAAAAAGACGGGCGTTGCCAAAATTTGGCTTTTAAGTAGTCAACCCTTTGTTAAACTCATGATTCTATTGGCCCTGTGCCGCAGAAAACACTACTCTCTAGGTAAGTATTTTGTGTTTATCCGCACAAAATTCATCCACACGAACCACTGCTACCACCATACAGGGATTGCAATTTTAGAATGATTTTTTTGAAATTTCCTCTCCCACTGGTAAACACATACCGCACCCAAAATTTCTGGGTTTTATTAAAAAAAATATAAAATTTATTCAACCATTAAAAATTTATCAAAATTCCAAATAATTTCGACAAAAAAGGTACAAAAATTCCAAAATTTTGCTGGAAAACGAAACTGAAAACTCTGCCACCACAAGTACGTATACTCTCGTATAGCAATGAATCGATGATTGAGAGAAGATAAACGGCGTGCTAAAAAAGAAAAGAAAAAAAAGAGTACTTTGCTTCACCTTTTGCTAATGGCTACGGATATCATCGTTTCCGTTACCTTATCTGCACCAACGGACGCGGTCGTTTATTCCAATGGGCTAATGGAGTGTTAGCTCACCAAACCTCTCCACTTGTGCACCGTTGGTTCAGTTCTAGAAGACCAAAAAAAAGGTCTTGGTACAGTCCCCAGAAAAAGAGGCTTTGAGTTTACTAGAATAAAAAACAATTAGCAGATTGGGTGTCAATGTCACAGTCCATCTCCTTTCAAGCGATGCTGTTGACTTGTATGAAGTCCTTGGAGTACGATCAACCTAGTAATTTTGAAGAAACTTTCAAATAGTCGTTGGAGATGATCAATAATTCAATACTGCCGCTCTCTCCAATCAATGTTCTCTTAGGCTGCGTTCGTTCTAGGGTGATAGGGTGTTTGTTTATTTCGTTTTCCGCGCGCACGCTTCCCAAACTACTAAACGGTGTATTTTTTAAAAAAAAGTTTCTATAGGAAAGTTACTATAAAAAATCATATTAATCCATTTTTGAAGTTTAAAATAGTTAATACTCAATTAATCATGCGCTAATGGCTCACCTCGTTTTGCGTATCTTCCCAATCTTCTCTATCACCTTCTCCTCAAACACAGCCTTAGAGAACACCTCCTCAAAATTTTACTAACCATATTCATCAGGTCTTGTTTTTTTTTTCATGTGCCCAAATATTGTGGTTATTTTTAAACTATGGTTATGTATAGTATTTTACATGATACTCATATTACAATTTCTCATCTTGATGTTAAGTACTATATTGTTCATGTTCTTACTTCTTAGCATTATAGTAGAAATTAGCAAATATCAACTTCTTATATCAAGTCAAGATGGCTAGCTTTCAGCGGAGACGGAATGGTTGTTCATGAGTAAAGTGCATAGCCGGTCCCTAAACTTGTATGACTGTGTCATTTGAGTCCCCAAACTCTCAAAATGCATATCCAAATCCCAAAACTTGTTAAATTGTGTCAATCCGATCCTAAACTGCCATGACACCTCTAGGATCCTACATGGCAATGCCACACGGACAATGATGTGGCAACATCATAAATTCTACACCAACTGACAAGTGGGCCCCAATAAAAAACTTTTTTTTAATATCCTCTTATGTTCATTCCCATCATGTCCTTTCTTCATTTCTCCTCTTTTCTTCCTACTGCATTGACCGTAGCCATGCATGGCCTCTGGTTGAGCTGTCTCTTTGATGACATGAACAGCTAGCGGTGCGTCCATGGGCAAGAAGGCACCGGCACGGCAGCCGCGTCGACGGAGGCGCTACAGCGTGTGGGCATCAGCGCCAGCGCAGTGATGGACGCGGTTGTGTCCTGGGCATCGAGGAGACTCCGGCCGAGAGCGGCGCGACTGCGTGTGGCTCGGCATGTTTACCGGCGAGGCCGAGGCGGGGCACGCCTACGATGTTGCGGCACAGCAGTTCCGCGGCCGTGACGCAGTCACCAACTTCCGCCCCTCGTCAAGTCTGACCCGAAGGCTGCCGTCGAGCTCTGTTTCTTCGCCTCCCGGTCAAAGGCCGAGGTCATAGACACCTACCTCAAGGAGCTCATTGTTGAAACAAGTGCGCCTTCACCTCCATCTCCCATCACCTGTTCGACAAGACGGTGATCCCGAAGCAAGCAGACCCTGAAGAGGCCGCGTCGCCGCTGAGCTGATCAGTACATGTGGTCCTCGGAGCCGTGGCTCGGGGCGGCGGCGGCAGCGGCGAACACCTGCGATGACTAGTGCGTTAACAGTGTCGACAACTTTGTGGCACTATCGCCGCTGCCATGTCCAAGCTGCGTTCATCGGCTATCTACGTCTGCGTCGTTGCGCCCCAACAGGTTCACGTCCCTGCTGTCCCACTGCGTTGCCAAGCTGCTCGACGTGCTACTGGTGTTGCGCATGGTACACGGCCTGCTCAACAATGGCGGCAGTGGCGTTGTCGTCGCCGCGAGGGTGGCGAGGTTGGTTTGCCGTTGCGCTCGCCGTCGGCGGAGCCGTTCTAGCCGAAGCTTAGGGTTATTGCCGCTGGCTTCGACTTCGGAATTCGTCGCCATCGTCGACCCTTGTCCGAAATTGAGGTCTCCTTCATCTTCTCCATGCCAAACTCCCTCCTTCCCCTTTCCTCCCCTAGCCGTCCTGCTGTCGGAGCTCACCGGCACGGTACCCACGTGCCGCCTAGCTATTCGGCCGCCATTAATTGTGTTAGCACGGTGCACCGCCGCTGGACGACTGGACGTCCCCGCCCAAGCCGAGAACACCTCCAGCTCCAAGTCGATGCCCTAATGCTCCTAGGCAGCCGTGCCCAGTCGGAAGCTCGCCGGAGCGCCACTACTTCGCATGCCCCCGCCGCTTGTACGACAGAAAAAGAGAGGAAAATAGAGAAGAGAAAGGAAAAGAAAAGTGGAAGGAGAAAGAGAAGGAAAAGAGAGTTTTTAGGTGGGTCCTATTTGTCAGTCAATGTAGAGGTATTGATGAGGCCACATCAGCGTCCGTGTATTATGCCACGTTAGCGCCATGTAGGATGGTGGAATGGTGGTGGCTATGTTGGACCGGAATGACATTCTTTAGCAAGTTCTGGGACTTGAATTTGTATTTTTTAAGTTCGGGGACCCAGATGACACAACGACACAAGTTTAGAAACCGGGTGTGTAGTTTACTCTTCTAAGATTATACTGATGATATGCAAACTGAGCATAGCTCGGTTAGGTTCCCTGTGGTATATGTCCACCCGGACTCAAGTACTTGACTTTAGCACATGTATCTGCGGTTAATTATTTTTCAGTAATAGACAAACAACATATCCATCGATAATAAGGTATTTATAATAACTTCATCAATCCCAGTATATAAGATACTAATAAAAGTAGAACATGTATTTATATGGATAAATGTGTCTCGATATATGTTTGTCTAGTCTTTTGAAGATATTTATAGGTATAGGTCAGGTGGATGTGCATGTGTGTGAAAAGTACCTGAATATAGACACATTCGTTTTTAAGAAAAAAATTATACCAACGATATAGTTACATAGTAGTACATGTGAGGACTCACGAAATGATTACTCCAACCCCAAAAGGACACAACAAAAATTAATCACACTCATTTCTGTTGGTCCATTTCAATACAACTACTCCTGCAGTTCATTTCTTGGGCAGATTGATATTTTCCGGGAGATTCCTAGAAAGACAAAAGTACTAGTTGTCTCGTTTGCTTGATAGTTAATCCTCTCAAGATTTCGTTCACACTCAACAAAGCTCGCGAAAGAGGAAGTGGATACAGCTGAGCCCCAAGCTGAGCCGAGGCCGAGCCGAGCCAGGAAGCTCGTCAGCTCGGCCCCTACAAGTGTACGGGCGCCACCTGTAATCCCCCACGTGATGGGTTCGCTTCGATCGGCGCCAAGCAACGTTTGTTATTCCCCCCCGCAAAATATAAAATATTCTGGCCTTACATCATCGACGGGGCAACTCCTGCCTATGCGTCGCTGCGCGGTGGGACCAGGGCACTCGCCCGAGGGGGATGGCCCACCTGTCATCGAGCGGGTGGCGGGCCCGCACCGCGGACACGGGTTAGGTGGGTCGACCGGTCGACGCGAGCGACCGCTGGTTTTGTTAATGAAGAATAATTAAATGGAGCATTAGTAGTTGTACTACGTAGTAGTACTGCAGTATAATTAATCTCAAGAAGGATAATCCTAGGCTTGTGCTGTGGATGTGGGGCCCACCTGCAGAGCACGCGCGGCACATTGGATGCGAACCGCGAAGGAGACGCGGCCGCGTTTTTTTTTTTTTATCCCCTCCTGCCAAGTCCACGTTCCGCAGTTCATGCGTGTGTTGTCGTTATCCGCGAGTGCGCGGGAGGACCGTCGGATCGGGATCTGACGGCTCCTTCAAACAGTCTTATCCCCTGGGAATGGGATGGTGCGAGTGCGATTCGAGAGTGTGGAGTTGCAGATTGCAGAAAACGACTTCAAAGATAGGAGTGCAAAATTCCTATGATCAGAGCAGAGAAAGACGGGATCATTGGGTAGCAAAATCAAACAATCGAGTACTATGGTCACTGGTGATTTTTTAAAACAAAATTCCTATGATCCGAGTAGAGAAAGACGGGATCAATGGATAGCAAAATCAAACAATCCAGTACTATGGTCTTTGGGGATTTAAAGCAGCATAGTACATAGGTAGGTTGCCATGTCAAAATTTCACAAAAATCGCCGTAGATAATAATAATCCATCCGATATTCCCGCAAAAAAAAAATCCATCCGATATGTAGGTCCCTGAGGTAGACATCTTGTTCTAAGGGTATGCTTGAATTGAAAGGTATTTAGGGACATAGGACCCAAGAAAATTAGAGCAAGATTGAACCAAGGAAACCCTAAATTAATTCTAAAATCAAGTTCTAAAATCTAAAGTTGGGGCTTGTAAACGGGTGAAGTAAATTAGTCCAGTGATCTTGGAGCACGTACAGTGGCAGCCCTGCGGTGCTTAGCTGAAATCTGAAGGGATTTGAAGATGCTCGTGCATGTGAAATGCTTATAAAACCGGGGTGTGCCGACAATAGCGGGCACCCACCACTTACCATGTTACCCATTGAGGAAGAGAGCACATGCGTAACCACAGAATCACAGCAGCCTACCGTGGCTTATCCGGACCCCGGTTTGCTTCAGAAGTTGATGAAAAATAAAAGATAGTGCAAAATTCCCGGACATTCTTTATTTGTTAGCGAATTTGCTTCGAACGATCGTTCAAACAATTTCAAGTTCAATTCCAGATGAATTCTACGGGTTCTAACTTCTATAACATGATGGAAACATGCTGCATGAAAACTGAAGATCTACTACAATTGCATGGCTGTGTATAAATGACTAGATGTATACAGTGAGAATGGAGATGCGGCAGAGAAAAGCAATGTAACTGTATAAAAACAAGGTTTACATACTTATCTCTGCCAATGCAGGTGGTAGCGCAGCCGTTTTATCTGGAGATCCTCTTCTGAATCTTGACATCTTTGAATTTTAGTTTGAGCTTCATTATACCAGCTTGGACTTGCACTTCGTTCTTCGATGAGTCTATTTTGACAACAGTAGCTTCGTTTTTGAGCTTAGGAACATAAACTAAATCTCCAACTTCCGGAATCCCATTATCTTCACCTAAGCCAAAAAAAAAGAGAAGAACAGAACAGAAGAAAAATACTCACAAATTAACTTGTCTTGAAATTGCATGGGCGTTAAATTATATGCTATGCATATTCGCATAAGTTATCTTACCTTCGGTCGTTGTGGCCATGCTGATGTTTGTGTTCTGTGCCTTTTTGACAGCAGGAGTACTCGTTGGTTCAGGGTCCTTCAATCTCTCAGGTTTGTCGTTCTGCACAGCTTTCTCTTCTTCAAGCACTCTTTTGGCTATTGCAGATTCGCGGAACTGCTGAAACTTCTTACGTATAATGGAACGAGCCATAACAGCATACTCTGAAATTACTCTCGCCTTTCTTTTTCTTTGAGCAGAAGTGTGGTCTATAATGTTCTTCTGTGCCACTTCCAAGTTATTGTGAAGCTCCTTGGACTGCCTGATACACGTCAATGAACACATGCATAATTAATATGAAAAGTTCGACCTAATAAGCAGGACAGATGCTAATTCAGTTACACATGATAGTCACATGAACACATGTACAATCTAATACATCAGAGAGAATCTAATAGTCACATGAACACACATACAATCTAATACATCAGAAAGAATCTAAGATCCTATGTGGTGGAACTAAAAGTTCACTCGGAAAGGCAGATCGACATATAGATGCAAACCATGATTGAACAACATAACTTAAAATCAGTTATTTACCTTTTTCTATTGAAAACTCAAAAGGTTGTATATGTCACATTATATCCAAACAAGAATGTGTTGGCTGGGAAAGAGAATTGCAGCATTCTCAATGTAAAGTACACAAGTCTAGGTAGAGAATTTCTCACATAACATAATATTGTGCCTCTTGAAGATGATGTTGATATTGTTGTTTGAAATTTTCCATGTCCATTATCAACTGCAAAGAAAAAAAATTAGAACGAGAGAAAAACCTTGTTCCATTTCCCATTAATGGAAAACAGAACCAACTGCAAAGAAAACTTAGATGAACTTATGGTAGTAAGGACAATATCAACCCATACGGGTGGTCCTGCCAAACTTACCGCGTTTATCTCTGCACCAGCTGTTCCAAGTAACTGTCGTGAGCTTTCTATTATGTCCGAGGGCAAACCAAGTCTTTCAGCAATATTGATTGCATTTGAACGTCCTACATGTGTAATACACTACAAATTACATCTGTAACAAAATATGAGAGCATAAGAATTTCAAGAATGAAACATGAGCAAGCTTTATAGCACAGACAACAGTTCAGGCACTTGTTTACCATAACTATATAAAGTCATTCAACTAGTTTGACTCGTCTCAGAGCAGATGGTTTATAGCAAACATTACAACCATAATATATTGCCTGTTGTGCAGTTCACTAGAAATCAAAAGATGTAGGTACTGATTGGAAAAATAACATGACATCTTCAGCATAGCATTAATCCTTAGCGCAGAAAGATTTACAACATTCCATACCATAGGAGCATGGAAGACAAACAGGATGGACAGTGTTTAGTCATGCTGAACAATGTATAGAATAAAAAAATGCAATCAGACAGATAAACCAAGTGAAAGGGGTTGCGACCTTCTTTGAAAGACTGGATTTTATAAGACAAAATCCACATAAAGACAAGTATAAGAACCTTCTAGCATATATTAACTGCTCAAGCAAACATCAACATTCCTAAAGAGGGAGAACAGATAGCAACCTGGTATTCCCCAGAGAATCCGAAATGTGGGCTTTAGATTATCTTCATCAAATTCCATGCACGCGTTCTCAAACAAATCATTGCTGAAAGTATGCACAATATAATGAGCCCTGTTTTGAAAAAAATTAACAACTATGCAGATTGTTGGATAAAAGCTAGTTTGGAAGGTGCCTTATCACCATCAAGTCACAGAAAAAGTACCACTGCATAGAGTAGAGAAGAGAAAAAATGACTCTATATGTAATTGTTCACAGCACATAACTGCACTTCTGTGCAACAAATTCCTAATTCATATACAGTTTGCATTAGAATAAACCTGATTTCTTCTGAGTTCCAACATTGCTGACAGCATCATATCATCAATGGTAACACAAATATTACACGTTTCAGTGGGTCAAGTACTTTCATTTAGATGTTTATTTGTATGATAATAATTAGAGGATTTATTTTCCAAAAACCCATAAAATTAGTCTATAAAAGAAGCCACGTAAACTGAACTAGTATCTCTACAATCTTAAAAGCACAGTCGTCGTCCTCCCGTTCCTACCCCATCCTACGTCCTAAAAGAACGGCTCAATAACCACCCATCCGACATCCCAGAAAAAAAACACTCAAAACTGAAAAAATAAAGAGAAAAAAAAATTGAACTACGTTGCTCAGATCCTATTGCAATGCACGGGCATGTGACTAGTAAAGGAAAAGGCTCAGTTACGCTCATTACTCAAGAACATAATGTGAAAACTGTCAAGTTGAAATATTACAAACCTATATTTTAACGTTTTAAGTTCTCCATGATGAGTTGTTGCTAGAGTCAGAAAGGAACCAGCTTCAGCAAAAGATTCCAAAAGAGACATCCCCAAAGCAGCTCCTTCAAGTGGATTTGTACCAGCTCCAACCTAAACAAGAAAACAGACCAACTTATTTTGAGGAATGGGTAAAAGTTCAGTAGAAAGCCCTTATAGATCGCGACATCGCAAGAGCATTTTGGTCATGAATTGGTCACACAGTATAGCATTCTCTGATGTATTGTTTGGGAATTTGTCAAAACTTGGAATTGGGAAAATATCAAGTGTGATCTAAAAACATTGCACAAATGAGCATCGTTTTTTTGGCGAATATATAAGAAATTCCTTGAAATGAAATTGAGAAGAAAAGAAGCACAGAAAGTCTGAAAACCGAAGACTGATGAAGAAAGTCTGAAAGCACAGAAAGGATAGCATTAATACTAGCTCTTAGGCACTGATGAAGTTGCACATAGACTGTGATAGACCAGAAAACTAACTTGGAAAAAAGAAGAACACTGCTGAAGATAAAGAGATTACAAGACATGAAAACAACTAAAAAACAACAAAAAAGATGAATATGGATCAGCCTGTTCTCTGAAGATACAACCATAACTGAGACAATAATTGCAGTCTGCAGCCTTTGGCACCGATTATTATATGGGAGAAAAAAAATAAAAGAGGGAAGTTGACAATCGAAAGAGGAAACAAGAATTATGCCCAAAGCTTGCTAAAGACCATAATAGTAGTATCAAGAGTTCAAGACAGGGAATAATGTACTTACCTCATCCAAAAGAACCAAGGATTGTGAAGTTGACCATGCGCGAATGGCCTGATAAAAAGTCAGATGTCATACCACTAACTAACGATTTAGGCAGTAACAGAAACGAAGAATTGATTGAGATAAATGCTAAAACACACTCCGATCTGCTTTAGATGCCCAGAAAATGTGGAGAGTGATTGTGTCAAAGACTGCTCATCTCCAATGTCAGCATAAACAGCATTGAACCACGGAATTTTTACTGGTTCAGAAGCTAGAATGTATAAACCTGCAGCAGAACAGGCAAAGTTAACAGACAAAGTTATGCAAGATACTCTGATTGTGTACTCACCAAGAACATTCAAGACTGCATATAAAAAGTATAAAATATACCTTCAGTGTTATGCCAAAAGTTCATATGAAAATGTGCTATTCAATCATACCATAAATTGCAGATACAGAAAGCTTATAAGAGTAAGAAACACAGATAGTAGGAAATGATCACAACAGTAGCAGTGAAACAAGCTGCTGTTAATAACTTCATTACCTATTTTAGCCATTAAAGATGCCAGACCAACTGTCTTCAAGCTGATTGTTTTGCCCCCTGTGTTTGGACCAGTTATGACCAATACAGTAGTTCCTTCAGCAATGAAAAAATCTACTGGTACTGGACGGTCTTTCTCCATCTGGGAGACCTGAAAACTGGAACATATATTATCCAGTGATACTATCATTAATCAGTATATACCCCCAAGTGAGAACTAACCCTAATTTTCATTAAATCGAGGTCAGATGCCAGTTGATCTTCTTCTACATTGTCTTGTCCATATATCCTCCTCCTCCGGATTTCCTAAAACATGTTGGCAAAATGAGAATTAGTCTATAGCTAAATATTGAGAAGTAACAAATTACAGCAGAACATGTTACGTTCTAGAACTAAGGTTATATCCAGAAGCAAAGCAAAAATGTATCCCAGTTCAGAATGCATCATCTTCTCCTTTTTTTTTCTTTGGAAAAATGCAGTAGAATAAAATGGATCTAGAAACTCACTGCTGTGGCACTTGCTACATCCTTTTTTGCACGATGCAGATTTTCCTGGTGTTGTTGGAGCAATAATGGATGGTATGCATTTGGCATGCACAGTTTCCATGCCTTCTTAGAGAGGTGAGCTGAGGAAATTGTACTGATAGACCCGCCTGTAGCAGTACTGACTGTTCCATTTACGAAGTTGGGTAAATAGAGATCAGGATATGTACCATCATATGCTATACTATATTTTGCACGAGCTGCAACCTGCAAGTAAGATAACATATTCAATCAAAAAAATATTGAGCAATAACTATTTGCAATATGAATATTGAATAAAGAAGCACCTTATCAAGTTCAACTGTTGCTTGCAGTAAAATCCGAATATTATCAAGCTCAAGAAGAATCTGAAGATAACAATATGAAGTGTGTTTAAGAAATGGTACTTCAAGTAACAAAACCAAATTAAACAACTGCTGAAACCTTATCAGTCATTTTCGATAAAGCATCCAGTTCAGCTTTAGCCACTAGAGCTCTTGCTTGCTGTAGCTCATCATTCAGTGGAACTGCAACAATTGGTTCTACCATACTTCCAGCATCTGTGCCACTGAAATGCAAATGAAAAATAATGATATAATTAAACTCCCAGCATATTTAAAGATCCAAACCATTTTAAAGAATAAATTAGTGGCTAATTCCCATAAAGCATGAGTATATAAATTCATATTTTTTATAATATAGTAGCCCTAATAATGTATCCTAATAGAGGCAATAGATACATATAGGAGTTAAAGAGGAAATGTGTCTCTCTTAAGGGGCATACAAGACACCTGGAGAGTAGTAATCCATCAAAAGGTGAAGACTTATCCCCTGTTACTTTTATGCAGCATCTTCCATTTACAATGCATACTTCCTACAGAAAAGCAATAGTTTGTGCTTTATTGCAATGAATCTTCCTTGGCAATAAGTGGGTTACATGAAACAATACCGACACAGAAGCTTCGTTATCAGCATTTCGCACCAACTTGTCCATAAGCTGATACAACTGAAAAGGTAACAACATTTAAACGTTTAGACAGTCAACTATCAATAGCAATATTTCCATTAGCGATTTCCTTAAGAATGAAAAAAAAAGTATGTTTGTAAATTAGAGGATGGTAGTTCTAAATTACTCGACAGAGTAAAACAAGGAGCATTTCCCCTAAATTTATTTTATACAGTTGCTAGAGTCTAGAGATCATGTAACATCTTCTACAACCATGTAACCACATACCCTGCTCTCTAGGACCTGGACTTGCTCTCGATATCGTCTTAGCTCAGGGCTCTGAAAAGGAACAATTCCTTTAGTTACAAAAGCGCATTGCAAATGAAATATCATTCACTACAGCTTTAATAAAGTTTATAGGTAAAAGACAAAATAAGTGGGGTATTATTACATGGAAATGTAATATATTTAATACACAAGTGTCAAGTGTTGTTACAAATATTAGAATGAAATGCAGTGTCTTGACATCCATCAGTTTTAGTGCCATTCAATGCTATGAAGGAAGAAGAGAGAACATGTTCAGATTCTCTTTATCTTAATGTTAGGATAGCATATTGCTTGGTTGCAAACAATTTCAAATCTGCATGGCTGAATTTGCCTAGTGCTCGGTGATAAATATTTATTGGTCATAATAAAGAAGTAAATATTCATGATACTGCAAACTGAATTGCTCATTAAATTAGTATCACATAAACAAGAAGCAACAAAAAAGTAGAATCAAGGTGCAAGGACCAAACTGCAGTGTCTTTTATGGAGCCATCGTCATCTATTACATCTTGTATTGATTTCACCAATGACTTATTAATGTCAGCATCTAGTATCTGCAGGTGAGAAGAAGAATTCAGAACACTGCACTGGCATGAATAGTTTACGATAGATGACAATAAGAAAGGAAGATAGAGAAAAACCGTTTCTGTAAGACTGATTAATCGTTCATGTGAGTCCTCGTCTTGCTTCATAGCAGCTTTGATAGTTACTTGCAAGGATTCAACAAAGAGCATCAGGCTAACAATGGCCATTGCTTCCTGACCTTTTATCACAGCACCTCCGGAGACACCATGTATTGCTGACTCTACCTTCAGTTAAACAGAAAATTACAGCTCTACAGAGTTGGCATGTAAGTATGTCAAGCAAAATGAGATAAAAGGAACAAAGCTATAAACTGAGCATGAAGATCAATATGCAGATTAGGCTGTTCTGCACGCATTGTTCAGTGGAGAAATTTACTTCAAGTGGGCATATCAGAGCAACCATATCAATAGCTACTCAGACATACGAGTGTACAATGAACATATACTATACTGTAGACCTTACTTAGTACTAAGTTAGTATCAATCACACAGAAATGGTGCATTATTCCAATACCAATGCTACTGCTACTCAACCATGATTTAATTAGCAACATGGAATTGCAAAACCAGCAAATAAAAAATCCGTAAGAACAACTATAGAGAAACGGCAAACATTTCCGTGAATTGATTGATTGAGTCCTCACCATTACAGTATCCAACCCCGAGAAATCAATCCCTCCACCGGCGCTGTCAATCAGCCGCACCGCCGCCCCGGTCTCCTCCAGCAACCTCCGGCTCTGCTCATAGCTCACGTCCTCCACCTCCCACAGCTGCGTCTGCACCCAACAACCAAGCCAAAAATTCCCTTGTCAGAGGCGAACCCCGCCGTGAGCCCGTGAGCCAGTGAGTGAGTGATCAGGTCGCGGGAAGCGTTCCGGAATCGGGGATTCACGTACCTTGGTGGTTTCCCGGCCGTGGGCGGTTCCGGCGAAGGAAGCGACGGCGTCGCAGACCTTCCCCCACTCGAGGAGGCGGAGGCTGCGCGCGGAGGGCGACGCGTCCGGGGCCGGGAGGGCGCGGAGGCGGAGGACGAGGCGGCGGCAGCGCGGGCAGAGGTGGAGGCCGGAGAGGGGAGGATGCGAGGCGAGGGGGGAGAGCGTGGTGGCGGAGAGGCGAAGCATTGGGGGAGGCGCGGCGGCGGCCGGCGGCGAGCGGCGGGTGGGGGGGAGGGAGGAAGCGGGAGGATAGGAAATGGCGCCGTTGCGTTTGGATAGGACGAACTCGGCGGTTGGTTTTTCCGCCTTCGAGCTGAGGCGTTTACGCTTTCGACCTGGGCTTGGCGTAGAAGCGGGTAGATGGTTGGCGTATGGGCCGGAATGCCGGTGGAGGCCCGTGTTTGGTGTGGGCCGATTGGGAAGCGGTTAAAAGTATATATGGGCCCGATTGGTTTGTTTCGATTCGGTAGTTTGGGCTTCGTGGAATTTAGCCTGCTCATTGCAACATGAATAAACCAGGTGTTCTTGAATGAAAAATGTTCTGAAATAAAATACAGTATTTTTTTCTGCATGTTACGAACAAAATAAACTTTAATAAGCTCTATCATTCAGATACGGTAGAATTATCAACCAGAAAAAAAAATCAGAATTCCAATTTCAGAATGGTTTAGACTCTCTCTGTCCCAAGAAAAAGACAACCTAGGAGGGGTCAAATCTGGACGGATTCGTTGTCCTATAAGGGGTTGTCTTTTTTTGAGACAGAGGGAGTAGTTCAGAACTTTGTGGTTGTGTTAGTATATGAATGACTGTTGTTTTCAGTTCAGTCATTGAATCATTTACTATGCTCTGCTTCTTCTTTCAGTTCATTTGCCGAAATCTCATGTTTCAGTTCATAAAAACGTTTTAAAGCCACGGTTCCATACCAATAAATACTACTACTACGTTTATAACTTTCATTAAAAAGGTCATGACAAACTGCAATTGCTATTAATTCTCTGCAGAAATGTGGCGTGAGTTACAGCAAAATGCTAGGAGTATAAGTAATCTTCTGCATCGCCTCGATAATCCTTACTTCACCGAGAGAAAAGAAGCAGACGGCAGCAATGCAAGCTCGACGTGCTCCGGCAACACTCCTCCTCCGCCGCCTCCTTTCCCTGTGCGCCATGGCGGCGGTGCTACTGCTCTCGCCGTCGCCGGCGGCCGTGGCGTCAGCCGAGCCAACGACAGCAGACGACATTATCCCCGCCCTCTCCGGCGACGACAGATGTTGGTGGCCCGCCGATGCACCGACGGCGGCGGCGGCACCCGCCGGAGGGGGAACGGGATACGACGACGCCATCGCTGCCGTTGCTGACGATGCAGTCGTCGTCGTCGCTGCGCCGGCGGCGGCGACGGCGCACAGGTTCAGGCCACGCTACGACTCCGCGGTCAGCCCGGGCGCGAAGCGGGAGCTCGAGCACGAGGCTCGCTGCGGGCCGCGCGTCCCCGTGCGGCGGGGCTTCCCGTGGCCGGAGTGGAAGCCCAACTGCCGCCGCGAACATGGCGTCGCCGGTGCCGGCGGCTTGGGGCGGCGTCCCTGGGACGAGCCGTAGCGAACAGTAGAGACGATCATCCAACTCGCGCCATCGCCATGCAGCAGCGTTGTGCCAAGAAACGGCCATCGGAGCAATAAAAATTAGAGAGAAGGGCCAAATTACAAAACTTCAGGCAAACCAAAAAGTATCAGTAATTTTCAGAAATTTATATGACCACGTCGTTAGTTTTCTCTGTTATCACACTGGCAACATACTGCATGATAAACGATAATTAGTTATGAAAAGAAAAATACTGAGTCGATGGCGTCCTCTCGTCTGCGATGTGTCATGTATAAATTGTTATGAAAAATTATATAATATAAAAATAATTAGATGGTATAATTTGAGCTAGATAACTGGTCCTGCATAGTTCTCTCTTTTATGTGTTATATCAAGCCTTGTGCAGTTGTGCTAAATATGCTGGTGGTTTTGGCTACGAGTACGTAGCCTACATGTATAATTTGACAAAGGTAAGCAGAATCTTTGGAATAAGAGATTCGTTTTGAAGGGCCAGTGCCATTCAGTTTTACTAGTCCTGCATAGTGCTTTACTGTTAGCTACTCCCTCCGTCAAAAAAAAAAAAAGACAAACCCTAGGTTTCAGTGTCCAACGTTTGATCTTATATGAAATTTTTTTATAATTAGTATTTTCATTGTTATTAGATGATAAAACATGATTAATACTTTATACGTGACTTGTCTTTTTAATTTTTTCAAATAAGACATACGGTCAAACGTTGGACAAAAAAATAAGAGTTTTTCTTTTTTTTTTTGGAGGGAGGGAGTATGCATGTTCCAACTGTGCAGAAAGCAAACGGAAATATCTTCGGGAAACACTGTGCAGGACCAGCTGCAATCGTACAAATTTGATTTGATATGTGTAGTGCATAGATTTGTTCGTTTTCTACAAATTTGTTTGAGTATACTTTCCGTTTTAGTCTGGATTTCGGTTCAGAAAAAATTAAACCCGCAAAACGTCTTTTTTTTTCTGAACAATACTTTTGGTGGCAAAAGAAGCTTATACTACCCTACAATGAGAGACCGATTATTGCATACAGTATTCTTTTTGGCGAAAGTTGTATACGATATTGATGCCTCTCGACCGGCAATCTCCTCAATAGTAATTTCTTCAGTACCCAGGTCAATTTTTGACCTCCCTACTTTGCTTTCCTCTGTCCTGCAACTTCAATTTGCCTGCTGCATTTGCTTGAACCTTTCTGAAATCTGAACCAAGCTCGAATATAGTATGGTTGAACCGTTGAAGCAAGATGAATCTTAGTTTTTTTTTCTTCTTTTAAAAAGATTGCTGTTTCTCAGTTGTGAGACCTGAAGTCTAAGCATTCATATAACATTTGGCTATGAATATAGAGGCTGGATATTTCTATCCATTATCTTAAAAAAAATTGCTTGAACCTTTCTTTTCCCTACTGAACAATGTGCAACCTTCCTCCAAGGCAGCTTCTTCATCTCATCCAGCACCATGAACGAGCTCAGCGATAAGGATTTCAGTCATCCAGACTACCACACAGCTAATGAACACTAGGATGCAAGTTGCTCAACGATATTTTGGTCCCATCTCTATAATCCAACATGAGCTGATCGATCACTGCCCCCTCAGAAAAAAATGCGACGACAATGACATAAAGTGAGAAAGAGAGATGTACATCCAGCGTTCATCGATCTGTTCATGATCTGTCCCAGATAACTGGAATTCGTACCATTGGGTCTCTGCACCTGAAGATACACAGTTATACACACACTGTCCTGGCAAGTTCCAGTGGCAAATCAGTCACCCAAGTTGCAGCAATAAACGAACTAAAATTCATTCATCCATTCATTCATTCAATCTTATCTGGTCCCAGCCATCTCCATCCCATGCCCCATGACAAACTGGATCACTATTTATGAGTCAGAAATTGATATATATACGCATGATGATTTGCATTTCCTGCAACAGCTGCTTGGCAACAACTTGCAAGTTGCAATGGCACAAAGGCTATTATTGGGGGGCCTAGTGGTAGAGAGTAATGCATGGCCGATCACGTCGCTGCAGTGTCAATAGCGTCTGAATACTGAACAGCCAAAATCTTCTTTCAGCTTACTGTTCGTAGCTTCTTCTGCGAGTACACTGCTCCATGTCGACCGGGAGAAAAGCTAGGACTAGAGTAGCTAGGTACATGCAAAGCGCAATTTTTTTCCCGCTTATTCCACTTATTATTCATTCTTTCTTTCATAATTTGTAATATATATTGTCTAGAAAATAAATTAGCAAACGAGTTTAGTGGGACTGTCCACTTGCATACCTAGCTAAAAGGTGGGATTCGATGTTTTTTCCTTTGTTTTTCAAGATAATTGTTAATTTGTTGACTACCGGTAAAATCTGATCAAATTTTATCTGAAGTTTAAAACCTAGTTTGAAATTCTTTTAACTTGACAGGGGAATTAAGTGGGTTTGTGTTCTCAAACTGGCTCGGGAAAATAAAATAAAATCCTATTTTTGTTTGGTTTTGTAAACCCTGTGCACTAGCTAACGTAACCCATGTGCACTAGCTTAACGTGATGCTCATGCTGTTATGCTTTTTCGTGTTTCGTGCTTCGTGCAACGGACGAAACCGTAGCCGACGAACAAGGATTGGACCAGAACAAGAAACGGAGCGAGCTGCCAGGGAAAGGGTATCTTGGCACGGATCGATCCCAACAGCGGGCGACCGCGACTCGAGAAGGAAACGTATAACGCCATTGATTCGGTCCCCCACGAGTCCACGACCCTGAATTTGTCTGAAAATCTAGCCGTTTTTTGTTTCATTTTCCATTCGCTCTGTAGCCCGTGTGATCGCGCCTGTAGCCGTCAGTTTTGCCATCATAACGAACACCAGCACCCATCACTCCTGTGAAAAAGTTTGCGAAGAAAATGGGATTCATAAGAATAACTCAAGGTAGAATTATTTACCGTAAAGACTATTAAAATATCTACTACATTTGTCTCAGGATATAACAACTTTTAGTGAATCAGTTGGTTGAGTTTCTTATGATGGAATCGTCCATCTGGATTCAAGTATTAAATTTGCTACGAGTATCCGTATTAGTAAGAGACTCCTGTGATGACTTCATCAGCTATATTTTAGAATAGAGGAAATATGTTTTTAGAATTTGTTGTATTTTAGAATGAAGGCCGTCCGACATTCTTTCCGCCCGCGTCGCTCGCCCCAGGCGACACAGGCGGCGACACCCATGCGCCGATAGGCCGCTTCCTCCTCCCTTCCGCCTCGCCGCCGCAGCGCCGCCCGAGCAGCCGCCGGCAAGGACAGCGGCGGCGGGGCCTCCTTTTCTTCTCTCGACGAGCGTAGTGGGGCACCGGTGGGACTCGAGCGACTGAGGCGGTGGCGGCGGTGCCTGCCAGATCCGCGCGCGTTCATGCCGAATTTGGCGGGGTGGCGGCAGGGGTGATGACGGCGTTGGGGATGGCGAGCTGCGTCTGTTGTTGGGGGCCGTCGGCGGCAGGGATGAAGATGGCGGTGGGGATGGAGGTGGCGGCGAGGCTGGTGACGGCGGGCCGGATCCAGGCGCGCCGGAGGCAGATCCGGCCTCCCCGTGGGCGGATCTGGCGCGGGAGAGCTCCACGTCCTTGCTGGGCGGCTGGTGGCGGTCGTGGCGGCGGCGGCGTTGGCTGGCGACCGCGGCGGAGGGCATGGCGACGGCGTCGGGGCGGTTACTAGCAGCGGCTGCGTTGGCGGTGGCGGTGACATTTGGCGGATGCGGCAGTGGAGGCGGGGAAGGAATCTGTTTGGTGGCGGCGGGCGACGGTGCAGCGGTTTGCGGAGGCCGGCTCGACGCGAGAGGCGCGGGCGGCGGAGATGGAGGCCAGCTTGGCGCGAGAGGCGTGGCCGATGGAGGGAAGCCGGATTGGCGCGAGAGGCGCGTCCGGTGAAGGAGGCCAACTTGGCGCGAGAGGCGCAGCCGGCGGTGGACGAGGCGACCTAGATGTGAAGAGGAGTTGCCGGCGGTGGAGGAGGCGACCTAGGTGTAAGGAGGAGCTGCCGGTGGGTGTGGCGCGGTCTTCGGCGCATGAAGGCTGGCTGGCGGGGGACGCCGGTGCAGGGGTCCCACGTGTCGGTAGAGCTTGTGTGGTGGTGGAGCATCGGTGCGTCAGCCGTGGATTCATAGGTGGTGAGCGGCGGGTGAAAACCTAGTCCGACCTCGGCCGGACCGACAATGATGGTTCATTGTCGTGCTATCTCACTCCTCAAGGGTGGTTGCCGGCGAAAGCCCGGTCTTGGCTCTTTTGAGTCTGTTAACAACCAAATTTGGTAATATCGGCATTGGGAAAGAAGAATAGATCGAAGCAAAGTCGGAGGCGGAGATCGAGTTCGGAAACAGAGGAGGAATCGGCTGGAGTCCAGATTGGCTACGAATAGGATCGGCTAGGTCTGAGTCGGACTAGGAAAGCCGATACAGCCGATTCCGACGATGCAACTGGATGTATGATATCGGGTTGGATTGAGGTGCTTCAAAGTGGTTGCCGCACATGGATAGAGTCCTGAGATGGCAATTGTATCTATTAATTAGGATGTTTTATGTAATTTCCTTAAAGATACGTTTGGGCAAAAGTCTGCCGCAAAGACTTATGATATCTTAGAGTTTGTTAGAGATAGTAGTCGTGTTCGTTATGGACATATTTTGTAATTCTCGGGTATAAATAGACCCGAGCCCTATGTAAGTTTTAACACACACGTTCAATACAATTTCGGCGCATCGCCACCCTTTTGCTTTAGTTTTGTTTCGACGAGTTCTTGCTTTCAAGTTGAGCTGCATCGGTTTCGATCTTCAACGAGAGGTAGAACTTGTTATGACGTCTTGTATTCTCGGGATTAGTGCTTTCATCTTTATGACACTCTAATCTTGTTTATGTAATTCGTCGAGTTATCATATATCTTACATAGCCTCTGGCAATATCGCTATCTAACCTACAATCGGCTAACATCTGTCAGTGGAGGGCAGCCAATTAGGTTAAATATCGATGTTAATTTAGATTATATAAGATATCTACCACTATGAAACTTCCAGCGGCTTGATCGTCTAGATATCGTTCTTCTTTTTATACTTAATGCTGCAACAGTTAAGTTTGACCTATTAAGTCGTGCTTAGAATATCAATCTCTAGCCTGACTTCTGGTTGCCGATTAGGGTAGCATCGGAGTTTTATCCGATCTTATCTGATTTAACTATACTTACCCTATATGTTTTATTGACATGTTAAATCTGTCCTTTATTTTAAGATCTTATTGCATCTAAGTATATTAGGCCTTTGTTTGATATATTCTACTTGCTTTAATATCTTAGTGTAGAGTGGTATCGGAGTATTAGCCGATACATGCTAGATCTATCTGATCGGCTATGTTATGAACATATATAGCCCTATTATTAATATATATTTCGATCTAAGTGATTTATACTGTCTCGGCATGGTGACCGATCTATCCCAATCACTTGATTTAAGTATATATGGATATAAGGAGTATATATTGTTAATGTCTGCAGCCGATCGAGTAGATTTAGTTCTTTCTTACTTATTCATGATTGCCGATCGATACACATATGACATCGGCTCAAAGATAAATGATATGTTTTTGGCACATAGCCGATCGACTATCATTTATGGATTTAACCGCGGTTTCTTTGCTTCTACTTCTTGTTGATTACAGGATCAAATCAACTGGCACGCTTTGGACCTGCACTGGAGTTAAGCAGATCTCCCAGGCCTCGTGTTTTCTGTCAACAGAGTCCCGACGGACGGCGACGACGGTTTTTCTGTCGCTTCTCTTCTTGAAGACGTCGTTTTGGCATCCTCAAGAGGACGATCTCGTTTGTGTCCCTTTGTTGGTCCAGTGGCGGTCGGTCATGCTTAGCGGCGGCTGGTCCGGTGCTAGCCTTTTTCTGGGCTTGTGTGTTGACGATGTCGGTGTGTGGGTGGTGGTTTATTCTCTTTTTACTGGTTACGATCCTCCAGGGTTATAATCTTGTAATTTTTTTTCTACTCTATCAATGGAACTTCGCAAAAAAAAAAGAATGAAGGCCGTATGAAACCGGGTCAGTAAGTACACGTATATCTCCTCAATGACCATGAAAAATCAAAGCCGGTGAAATGAAACCGGGATCCGCGCGTTTGCCGTTTCGGGCTTCCGGCAGACGCGCGCATCACACGCACATGCACGCGACGTCGAGAGGAATCCCGTGAAAAGAACGTGAGATCGATCGGTTCGGCCGCGCGCGCGCGCTAGCTCTCTCGCTCCCCACTCCACTCCCCCCAGGGTCCCCCCGGCCAGCGTCGTCGCCGCGCGTCGCGCGGCGTACGGCGAGATATCCCCTGTGAGCGATCGATCGAGCTCGGCTAAGCGGCCCAACGCGCGTCGCCCGCTCACCTGAAGCAAGTTTAATAGTACAGCCAACTACTAACTCTAAATGAAATCATTTAGAGCCAATGTAATAGCCAATTCATATAATAGCTGCTTACTATACTATTAATACTCGGTCCCATCTGTCATACACTCTCGTTACGTCTTGAAGTCCGTACTGCAGCTGGCTACAAATCTGTAGCCCGCTGCTTTTCTCTCTCTTTCTTTACCTCTTTAAAATATATTTATAGCTGACTTATAGCCTGCTGTACCTGCTCTGAGCTACTCCGCACGGGATAGGGAGCTGAGGACGCGAATCGCCGACGCGCCGCGCCACACACGCTCATCCAGGAGCGCGCACGTATGGGCCTGACCGATATCCATGCGAGCCCGTCGTCACCCGTTTGCTCTTGCGCGCGCGCTGCATGCAACGCCACCGATCGATCAGCGATCTTTGCAGCTAGCGCCCCCCGCCCCCCCTCCGCCGCCCTTATCCTCTTCCGGGAGAGGATTCTAATCCGACAAGAGAATTTCTTCTCGTGTAATTCTTTTTTCTAAATTCAGTGTAAATAGAAATTCCGAAATTTTTTGGTAGTGTAGAGTATTTGGTACTATATCCATACCAAAATATAACAATTTTTGGTTAAATGTAACGTATCATAATACTATAAATACATGCTTTCTATCCAGATTCTAGTACTAAAATATATATATCCCATCCGCCAAAAGATTGCTATATTTTAGGATGGATGGAGTATCTATGAGTCCACAAAAAACATGTTTAAATTCGATCTATATACGTAGAAAAAAAAGAGACAAATTCGCGTGTGAACAATACACTACTGTTCATATGTTCAATTTGTTTCTTCTCGATGTGTGAATTGGATTTCAATTTAATATTTTGTTGAGTGGTATATATTCCCTCCGTTTCAAAATATTTGACACCGTTGACTTTTTAAGTACATGTTTGATCATTCGTCTTATTCAAAATATTAAGTAATTATTTATTCTTTTTATGTCATTTGATTTATTGTTAAATATACTTTCATGTACACATATAGTTTAACATATTTTACAAAATTTTTTTAATAAGACGAACGGTCAAACATTTGTTAAGAAGTCAACGGTGTCAAACATTTTAAAACGGATGGAGTATATGTTATTAATTTCTTTTTTAAAAAAATTCATAAACATTTGAATGGTTTTAAAATAAATGAGGAGGCAACCATGACCTTTAGGACTCAGAATAGTTTCCCATCCTCTCCCCCCTATAAATCCCCCTCCGATCCCCCGCCGCGTCCCACGCCAACACACACGCACTCGTACACATATACTGCAAATTAAAAAGCTAGCTTAGCCATGGCACGTAGCCTCTCGTTGCTGCTACTCCTCGTCGCGTGCTTCCTCGTCGCCGGCGCCACCGCGGCTCGCCCGGCGCCGTCGACGAGCGGCGCCGCCGCCATCAGCAGCTTCGTGAGGTCGTGGTGCGCGGGGACGAAGTACCCCGCCCTGTGCGACGCGACGCTGGCGCCGTACTCGGCGGCGGTGGGGGCGAGCCCGGCGAAGCTGGCGTGGGCGGCGCTGACGGTCACCCTCAGCGCCGCCCGCAACGCGACGTCGGCGGTGAGGTCCATCGCGGCGAGGTCGTCGTCGTCCCATCTCCCGCCCGTGGCGGCGGAGGCGGCCGGGGACTGCGCCAGCGAGCTCGGCGACGGCGTGGACGCGCTGCGGCGGTGCGTGGACGCCATGGCCCGCGTCGCCGTCGGCGAGGAGTCGTCGTCGACGGCGGCGGCGGCGAGGAGGAAGGTGAGGTTCGAGGTGGACAACGTGCGGACGTGGGCCAGCGCGGCGCTCACCGACGACAACATGTGCATGGAAGGGTTCAAGGGGGAGGCCGCCGGCGGCGGCGGCGCCAGGGAGGCCGTCCGCGGCCACATCATGGGCCTCCTCCACCTCACCGCAAACGCGCTCGGCATCCTCAACGCCATGGCCAAGCAAATATAACTCCTCCCTAGCTAGTAGATAACTCAGTGACATACATACCCATGTACGTACGTCGAGGTATGCATACTGGATATATACGGATATACCGTATGTATACCGTCATATATACACATGTTTTGCGTGCATATATATACCATTTTGTTCTTCTGTGTACATTCACATACACCATGGCATGATGAACGGGCATAATGTTATTTCTCCAACAATTGAAAATATACATGATGGGAAAGTGGCGTAGAATATATAGACACATTAATTTGTTCTTGTGTACACATTTACCGTGATCTGATTAGAGAATTACTTTCTTCATTCCAAAATACATAGTAGGGAATAATATGTCACCTATCGTACTAGGGTAATTTATTTTGGAATTGAAAGTAAGAGCTGTACTATCGTACAAAACTGTACTTTAAGCTGTCATCAAGTAAGAAAGTGTTTGGGCGACCATTGCAAGGAATCACGGGCTAATTGTCGTGTAATGACATCATCGAAGAAACAAATTGTCGCGTAATCGGTTTCATGTCCGTACATGTACTAAGTTTTTGGGACTATTAACAAAATGATTATATAAGGTGGCAAAAGCCGGTACGCGATGCGTTGCTGCACGTTAATAAATCGTGGGTTCTGACGAAACAGGCACGTGCCTGCATGATTGATCTGCCCAAGAACACATCTAAAAAATATAATAATAAATCTCACCAAAGAAGTGAAAATTCTACTTTATTGATGTCGTGATTTTTTTTAGCAATAGACTAGATTTGTATGGAAGGCGACAGATATACTTCCTGATGCTGTGACGAATAAGCTGGGCCAAAAAGCTCTCAGTCTACTCAAACACAGTGACACAGTCTCACACTTAACTGCAGCAGCATTTCTAGTTTATGACTGAAAGCAGGCAGCTTAATAGCGTGCAAGAAATAACTCCTTTTCTTCTGCAATTGTATCGTTGAATGCTTTAAGTTTTCTTCTGAATCTTTGGTTGTCACATGCAGCACAAGCACAGCACAGCAACAGGGTGAGAAAAGATCTCTTGATGTGTTCAACGAAAAGAACAAAAACGTCTCATGTATCAGGCACAAATATCTGCAGAGTGCATAAGCAAAGCACAGACTGAAGTTGATTTGGTTCTTAGGACAATTAATGTGAAGGGCTGAAGGCAATAATGCAAGTCGATCTACTGCTAAACCACAGGAGCACAACACAATAGATAGACAAAGTTAGTTATGAGTCACAGTCAGAAATCAGAATAATGCATGCCAACATGCATGGTAGATTGGTAGTACACTCAAAGTTGTCCATGGAATTGTTGCCATCCTTTGTGTAATAGTGTAGGTAAGGCTTAAACTGATCATTTGTGTGCACACTGGTGCTGCATTGTACTTGACTGTTAGTACTTAGTAGAGTCTATTACCTTCAGCTGTCTTTGCTGAGAACATCAGGCCCCAGAGCGAGTTCAGCAATCAGTATCTGAGCATACTGCCATATAGTATACTGGACTGACTGGACATGATACCAGAAAAGGGAACACACAACTTGAACTTTCCTGAAACCAATTGGTAAATGGCCATTGCTGCTTCATTACAAGCGTAGCAAATCTGCACTCCACAAATACTTCCTCCGTTTATAAATATTTGACACCGTTGACTTTTTAACACATATTTAGCCGTTCTTCTTATTAAAAAACTTTTGTGAAATATGTAAAACTATATGTATACATATAAGTATATTTAACAATGAATCAAATGATAGGAAAAGAATTAATAATTACTTAAATTTTTTTTAATAAGACGAACGGTCAAACATATTTAAAAAAATCAATGGCGTCAAATATGTAGAAACAGAGGGAGTATTTCTTTCTAATGGTAAAAGTGCGAACATGCTTGTAGCATGGTGCTAGTATCTTCTACTGGAAATGTTCGCTCGCTGATTCCAAAAATCAGGGCTCTTGACGAGGGTGTGCGAAGTGAGCGACCGAACACGGCCCTTCAAATTAGGGACTCCAAATTTTTCATATTTTTACCTATGTCAATGCGTTATGATGTATTAATGGCCTCTTGTTCTATTTTTTACTCATTTGTTGATTTGGCTAGAACGGGCTTGTTTTCTTTGGTTCTGATAAGCGTTAGATTGCAATCATAACCAATTTAAGAGCTATAGCTTATGACAATGATATGAACGTGCCTTATAGGTATTAAATATTCCATTTTTTCGCTTAATTAAAATAGATTACTACATAATGACATAAAAATTTTTTAATATTCATTTTGAAAATCTTCTTCCGATATAGGTAGAACTCCATTGCTAATTTCTTGTTGTTTCTTTCATATTTTTATGGACCTCAAATTATGTTTCGTACCAGGGTTTCAAATTTCTAGGTACAGCCCTGCCAAAAAACAGACAGGGTTCCTCATGTAGCCGAGATAAGGTGCTTATTCTTAATTAAAATACCGTGATATTTCCCCCTCGTTGCGAGTTTTTTTTCCCTAATGGTTAAGTTTTGCAGAAGTCTGTTAGAGCTTGTAGCTACAATTTTCTCGAAGAAGAAACCTAACCATAGTAATGAGGAGGCAGAGGGCAAATAATATTTTTGGCAATAATTTGAAATGGAGCAATCTAACGGACAAGAACAACATGGACCACATCAAACAGTTCTAGAAAATCAAGTGCTAATCAACTGATGTACTGTGGAACTTTTTCTTTAACGAATGTGAATGGAAATGGAGTAATATATATGGAATAATAATTTGTTAAACAAAAAATAATTCACAGACATTGGCGCAAAGCGCAGACATGATGCATTGACAAGCCTTACCACCAGCATGAGCAGAAAGCAAGAAAAAGGGAGCACATACTAATGACGAGCTTCTAGGTAGCTTTTGTGATCTTCTTGTCAACTAATGACGAGACTGATCAGCCAAGATCAATTGATCAGACAGTGACCACGTAATGCTATATCTACACTAGAACAGCACAGGAATCTCAGCAAATCTGAACGGGCATCCTGCAGATCGAGCTCCACGACAATGAAAATTATACCGTGAGAAAATTGCTTGATCTGGTCATGAACAGAGCAATTTAGAACCAGGCACGCGTCCATATACTGGACTGGACAGCAGTAACAGCCTGGGCGAAACAACATGACGATACTGCAATGTAATCTATGCTTTCAAGTTTCCAGTCCAGTTCTACAAATGGAAGAAGCAGAATGGAGTCATGGTTGTCATGGATTTGTGAACCAATTGCCGCTTCATTACAAGTCTCTTGCAAGTTGCAATCTACAAGTACAAAAATGAGTAGTTGTTTCTAATGGTAAAGCACAAGTGCCATGTCACAACATTTTCATGAAGCTCTCCTGGGAGGAGACATATTTTGCAGAAGTCGAGTTGTTGTAGCTATAACCACCAATTGAAGCAGGACACCTGGGAACAGTAATAAAAGGGATAGATGGCAGGAGTTAAGCGGTGGATATTTTTGTCAATTTTAAGTGAGCAATCTTAGCACTTACCAAGAGCAACACGAACCACCTCCAATAGTTCATGGCTTGTTATGGACTCTGTATTTTGCTTCGTGATCTAGAAAACAACCAAGTGGTAGTTAGATAATGTACTATGGAAGAAGAATTGGTGAAATAAGAGGTAAACTCATACTTCGATGTGCAAAAATGGAATTGCAAAGTGCAGATACGATGCAATAACAAATTAGGAACATAAGGCAAGTAAATGGACATGATACTAAAGCAAATCTGCTCCCAAAATGGTCATACTATGAATAGCCAATTCAGATTCCAAAACCAAATCAATTTCAACAAGGAAAATTTATTGCATGCACATGTCCGAATCATGGTTCTTTGAAATAACAGGATTAGATATGTATAAGAAGATACTCCTGTTAGCTAGATCACCCCTGTGGGCATTGGATCTGAACATGAAGATTCTCAAATCTATTGTTATATGTTTTATATAGCACTGCTCTAGGATTCATTAAAGTGAACAATCATGCTTCAAGCTGGATACTTTCAAAGCCTTCTGAAAATACGGACTCACTAGACTAGCAATACATTCCCCCATTTTTCATGTTAGTCTGGTCCTAAAGCAAAGTGGTTTACAATAGATAGGCTACTAAGAATTACTTTTCAGCAGTACAGCACAACCGGGTTTCAGATTGCATGTAGGGGAAATTACAATTCTCAAAATAGATCGGCAAGGAAAGGAAGTATAGATCTCGATATTGCATACTTTGGTAACTGTGAGGATGTGAAAAATTAAGTCCTAAGTTGGAACTCTAAGTTGGGACCAAACAGCTGTATGGCTTTTGCAGAACTATTATTTTAGTTACATGTATTTGTTTGGTTCATAATTGGACTACCCAGCTTGAGACCTTGAGTTTGTTTCTGAAATAGCTCATGGATCAACAAGACTAAGACCAGAGTAATCTGAAAATATTGTTTCTTTGTCAACGAAGTTGAAAAGGATTTAGCCCATGGTTTTACTTGGATACCGTGAGAAGACACAAAAAAGAAAGAGCATCAGGTATAACTTCACAAAAACTACTTGAATAAAAATATTGGGGATCTAAATTTTGTCATCCAAACCTTGAAGAACAACTCTGACCGAATAATGCACGCCACAGAGAATGCAACAGCAATTGATGACAAGCTTGTGTACATCCGGAGCAGCACAGCCATTGTCCGCCTACGTCCTGTGGAACATCAGTACAAGATCAGCTTAGATGAAACGAGAATCCAAAACATATTCTGACAAAAGGAATGCAAATTGTAGAAGCACATGTGATGTGTACTAGTACATAACTACTTCAGATTTTCTCTGAACAAAGCACATTTACAGACTGGTAGGGGAAAAAGTTTGGGATAACTAACTATAATAACTTCATCATTCTATCGTATGTTGAGAGATTGGTTGAGGCTATTCGAAGAAGAAAGTGTTAGGATTTACATTTGTGATCATTGCAGCAAATTGCTGGTCAGTATGGAAGGCCCATAATGATATATGATTTAAAGACACTGTCATTGTTGGTAACTTGGTCCTAACATGATCAGTTTTGAACGCAAGAGCGTATACTGTGTTATACTATTCTACTATAAAAAGGTGTTGTGTTAGGGATACCAATTAGTAAAACCTGCTTGCTGGTTCTAGGGAACAAAAATGGAATCACCCAACAGATCAGGAAAATTTGGAACACCCTCCTTTATTTCGCCATTCTCCTACATGGCAAAGTGCAGTAACCAGAATTGCTCCATTGGCGATTGTCCATCATGACCTTTTCTTATACTGTATCATATTTTAGTTGATTATCATTTTTAAAAAAGTGGCGCAAATTGTTTTACTACTCAAGTCAAAGATCAGAGAGACTACTAATCCGGTTTATTTACTGGCATAAGAAGAAATTGAGACCAACTCATGAGCATCACCTATTTCTCCCAGCACAATGGCCAACAGTCCAGCAGCCACGGACATCACGGCGAACTTGTTCATCTCCGCGCCCTTCGACAGCGCGAGCAACAGCAGCGCACCCCCGGCCACTTGGTGCAGAGCCTGAAAAAAAAAAGAATCAAAGAACAGCAACCATGCATTACAGGAGAGCGAGCAGGGGGGAAATTGAGTTGTATCGTTGCGCGAGTGCGGCGGTTCACCTACCTGCACGAGGATGAGGCGGCCGAGGCGGGATTTGCCATCTGCAACTCTCTGGTACCCTGCAATGGCGCGCAAGAACAGGGGCACACAGGTGAGTTCGCAGCGAGGGTTTGGGAGTCGGGGAATTCGGGGTTTGGGGCCGCGGAGGGGTGCTTACGTGAGTCGACGACCATGCGGTAGGAGAAGTCGGAGCCGTCCGTCCCGGATGGCCGGCCGGAGGCGGGGCGCCGCTGCTGCATCGCGGCCGACGGCGGCGAGGAGGTCTCGGTGGTCGGAGCTCGCGAAAGGAGAGAGATCAGTTCAGGAGGAAGAAGACGACCTGCAAGTCAGATCCCCCCTTGTAGGCTCAAAATACGCCTCCTGCATACGAACACGGAAAAACAAAATACGCTTTCAACCTCGCAAGACGTACTCCACGCTTCAACTTTCAAGCAGAGCACAGCGGCGCCGTCTCCCGCACACACTCTCTCGTCGCAACGCCGCCGCCGCGTTCTCCGGCGATGGAGGAAACCGCCGCCATTCGTACATCTGGCATCCCCGTCTCTGTGTCCTCCACGGCCTCTGCGGATGGCGACGCCTCTGCTGATCCCACTGCCTCGGCCGCCGCCGCCGCCGCCACGGTCGGCGACGATGAGCACGACTCGAAGGAGGTCGTCCTGCGCAGGTACTTCATCCAGGAGTGGGAGATCGTCTCCGACATCCTCCGCCGCATCGTCGACGCCGGTGGCGTCGCCGAACCCGCCGATGTCCAGAGGATCCGCTCCATCGTATGCTCCTTGTGCCAACCCCCTTCTCTCTAGATGTTCCATTTCGCTGAACTATAGATCTATACATGAGAACAATGCGTATTTCTAGTAACAATGCTCCTTTTCTGTTCGTTACTAACTTGCTTTGGGTTAGAGAACAAAAATCAGTCCGTTCCACAGTTTCAGCGTCTATTACTCAATGCAGAACCAAATCTGAATTGCACAGAATTTTAACCCCTATTTGAATTGTGTTATGTTTCACCTAAATAAGTTGAGCTATATAGGATGCAATGTAATCTGTTTGCTTCTACTAGTTAGCGAATTGTACACTGAAAGCAGTTACAGTTTATCAATGTTATGTTATGAACTATATGTCAAATCCTCCATGCTTAAGAGTTTGGTACAAATTAACTTCATCTTCTTATTTTTTTGCTAAATAGATGGATAAATATCAAGAGGAGGGTCAACTCCTAGAGCCATATCTAGAGAGCATCATCTCTCCACTTATGCTATTAGTCCGTTCCAAAACAATGGAACTAGGCGCTTGCACTGATGAGCTCCTTGACATTATCAAGCCTCTGTGTATTATCATATACACTCTGGTCACAGTATGCGGGTACAAAAGCGTCATCAAGTTCTTCCCTCATCAAGTTTCAGATCTAGAGCCTGCAGTTGCTCTCCTTGAGGAGTGTCATAAAATGAGCTCAGCAACAGCTCTTAGGCAGGAGAGCACAGGAGAAATGGAGACTAAGTGTGTCGTTCTATTGTGGCTTTATATACTGGTCTTGATCCCATTTGATATCTCCAGTGTGGATACAAGCATTGCTACTGCTGATCACGTGGATGGGCCTGAAACTGTTCCACTTGTGACAAGGATATTAGACATATGTAAGGATTATCTCTGCAGTTCTGGTCCAATGAGAAGGATGTCAGGATTGCTGCTCGCAAGGCTATTGACTCGTCCAGACATGCCAAAGGTTTTCAGCAGGTTATCCTTGCAACTACTTTGTTGCAACTTACAACTCTTATCCATACACATTTCAAATTGCTGTAGTACATTTGAGAATTTCGTATCACCGGTGAACTGTCTTGTTTCTACCAGTACACTGAATATTTATATTCTCTGAAATGATTGTAATATATTGATGGTTAATATCCAGTTAACTATTTCAGTGTAGTTCTATGCTACTGTATGATAAAGGACAATGTTTCAAGTTACCTTGATTCTGTTTTTCAGTTTTATGGAATGGGCACAAAGGATCTTGTTATCTGTCACAGATGACTTTGTGGATCAATTTAGATCGATTGGTATAGTGGAAGCATTAGCATCAATATTTAAGGTTTGTCCCGCCTTTATCTTTTACTTTTGCACCAAACATCATACTGTAAATTTAGTAGAGATAGCTTTTTCTTTAGTATTTAGTACTATTGTTCATTTGTCTTTTCTCTAAACATGCGATCTTGTTTTACATATATCATTCTTTTAGGATGTTATCAGTAGGGAATGAGCACGACTTTTAACTTTTCATAAAAAAACAATCATTAAATTTTCCTATTCCCTTCTTTCTGCTTCATCGTGTTGCAGATTGGTAACCGGAAAGTGCTATGTGATGCTGTTTCTGGAATTTGGAATGATTGTTCAGTTGTGATGAAGACTAACATTGCATCCAGAAGCTCTCTCCTTAGAAAGTTTCTGGTCAAACTGGCGCAACGAGTTGCACTCATTAGCTTGCCTCCCCGTTCACCGTCATGGCGCTATCAGGTTTTAAAATTTTATTAATTGTTAGTACATCAGTATCTCGCAATCATTACTCGTAATTTGACCTTTCCTAAGTCATTGTGGGGTTCAGTAATTATTTTATTTAGTATGATACAACTCTAGAACCTTTAGATTGTTTTTGTAGATTCATATATCCTTTAGTGAAGTTCCAGTTATGATGTAAACGCCAGTTTATTACTGGAGCATATGATTACTCGTACAGTTTACTACAGAATTTAATAAGACATCGGGTTGACATGTGATTGCAGTCTGATTATATTTTATGCACTGTGCACAACTCCAGATCATATCAAAATTTTATGGAGATTATTATTTTTAATTGTTAAATGTTGATATATGAACCATTCAGTTGGAGAAGAGCTTGACTTTAATCCTAGAACACCAATCCTGTTCAGTGAAAGAAATAAACATAGCTTGCTATTAACCTATCATCTACCTTATTGATCTGCTATATTTCTGAATAATAGACATCTTGCAGAAAGGTGTGATGATTTAACACTTCTCATGAAAAATACCGTTTTCTTGGGATCTACCTGCTGAAGCCTGTTGAAACATGGAAATAAATCCTGGCATGATATCTATTTGTGATTAAGTTTCAAGTTTTTTCACATATTTCTTTTTATGGGATGCTATCATGTTTGCTCTCATTTTTTGTATCATTACTTCCATTTGTAGGTTGTAAGACGATGTTTCCACCATTATGTTAATCGATTTCCCTTATGCAGTCGATAAGTAGTTCACTGGGTGCAAACCTTTCAACTTCTACTGATGGAACTGGGACTTCAAGTGGTTCAACTAAACAAGTGAACATTGACCAGACAGACACATCTTCTTTAGAGGAAGATATGGATGTTCCAGAAATCGTGGAAGAGATTATTGACTTGCTGTTGACTGGTTTGAGGGATTCCGTATGTTGTCATCCTAATATTGTTTTGTAAAGATCCGAAATATTTTCTAGGTCATGTTATACTTATTCTCCTTTCTATTTAACCTTGAATTCTGTAATAATATTTCTTGATTCTCTCTTCAGGATACTATTGTGAGATGGTCTGCTGCCAAAGGAGTTGGTAGGATAACTGCACGTTTAACACCTGCATTGTCAGAGGAAGTTCTATCATCAATCTTGCAGCTTTTTTCTCCTGGGGAGGTTTGTTGAAGAACTCATGTAGTTTAAGACATCATTTGACTTTTTAAATATTCCTCAGTTTCCATCTCTACCTTTCAAAAGTGCAAGTCCTGAGTGAACCACAAGTATATACCTTATGACTTTTGGGTTCTGAAGGGTGATGGTTCCTGGCATGGAGGCTGCTTGGCTTTGGCTGAACTTGCTCGTAGGGGACTGTTGCTGCCTTCTAGCTTTCCTGATGTTATTCCTGTTATAATAAAGGTACATACTAGAATGGTACCAAATACCACTTATACATATATATAGATCCCATGATATATTCTTTTAGATGCTAACACTGGCATCAAAGGTGCATGTTTTCTCAATTCTTTACTTGATAACCAAAATGTTTCTGATTATTTGGTTAAACAAGTCTTGCCTATATTCTGATAAAACATTTGAGGCAAATCCAGTGACAATTTTAGCTCTGCAGGCTTTGCACTATGATGTACGAAGAGGTCCACATAGCATTGGTTCACATGTAAGAGATGCTGCAGCATATGTCTGTTGGGCATTTGGTCGAGCCTATACCAATTTCGATATGAAGGCTGTATTGCAACAACTTGCTCCCCATCTTCTAACGGTTGCATGTTATGATCGAGAGGCAAGTTCATTCTGATTTAGTCATTCATTTGTGGCATCTAGATTTTGTGATGCATTCTCTAGCATCTTAGTATTTTTTTTCTTACTGCCGAATCATGTGTGTCCTTATACATATATGATGTAGGTTAATTGCAGAAGAGCTGCTTCTGCTGCCTTTCAAGAGAATGTTGGAAGACAGGGAAATTTTCCGCATGGCATTGATATTGTGAATGCAGCAGACTACTTTGCACTGGCTTCCAGATCAAACTCTTATCTGAATGTCGCTGTTTTTGTTGCTCAATATAAGGAGTATCTTCATCCGTTTGCAGAGGAGCTACTGTGCAACAAAATATCCCACTGGGTACTGTAGTACTACGACTTATTAATTGTTTCTTGTTCCTGCATTATATCTGTTTTCTGACTTTGCATGCTTCAATCTGAAGATATTAGGCGTGATGCCCTTGACCAAACAAGTTTCATGATATTCGATCTCTTGGCCCATTGCCTTAGTTTGTTCCTATTGTAAATTTCAGTGAGATGAGCTTATGATTTGTCAGACGTGATGTTGGCTGACTTTATTTTCTTTCTAGGAGAGAAGCTTGCGAGAGTTGGCTGCTCAGGCCCTTTCTATGCTTGTACAGTATGACATGAACTACTTTGCTGGATATGCCCTTGAAAAGTTAGTTCCCTGCACTCTTTCATCAGATTTGTGCACTCGACATGGGGCCACTTTAGCTGCTGGTGAGATTGCTTTGAAGTTGTATCAGCTCGGTTTTACTTTTACCACAGGTAAGAGATCCATTTATCTAGATTATCTCTTGTAATACTTTTTATCTGAATTGTTTACCCTATAAACTCCTTTGCATGGGTGTTCATTATTCTATAGACATGCAGAAAGCTCTGTCAGGAATTGTTCCTGCAATTGAAAAGGCACGCCTTTATCGAGGTAAAGGAGGAGAGATAATGCGTTCTGCTGTTTCCCGATTCATTGCATGCATTTCTATGTCTGGGATATCCTTGAATGAGAAGACAAAGAGAAGTTTGTTAGAAACCCTTAATGAGAATTTGAGGCATCCCAATGCTCAAATACAGGTGAGAGCTTTCTTTGGTCTTGAATCAGCAACTGAACAAATTTCCCATGTAATTATGCTTGGTTAGGCTACAGTCTACTATAACTTTCCAGTTCTCAGGTTTATTTCTAAAAATACTCCCTACATTCCATATTATAAGACGTTTTGGGTTTGTCCTAGGTGAAACTTCATGTTTGACCAAGTTTACATATAAAAAAAAACGTAGCAAGTCCACAAAACAAACACACTTACAAAATATATTCAATGGTAAATTTTGATGAAATTAGTTTGGTGTTGTAGATGTTGCTATTTTTTTTTCTATAAACTTGGTCAAACTTGAAGTACAATTGTAGTACCGCTCCAATATATATTTAATCAATACACTATTATAGCCTAGACCCACTGTGCAAATCAACAATGTAAATCTTTCTCCTTTTCTCCATTGACATAATAATTTCTAGGCCCTGAGAGCAACATTGTGGCTACTTCTTTTCCCTGTTTTAATAATATATTAGATAACAACATAGGCTTGTTGATGTCAATTATTCACTCAAAAGTGACCCTCTCAGCAACCACCTGTATCTTATTGTCTTGTGTTCTGTTGTTTGATATGGCACTGAACATTGTACAAGCATGACTGGTGCATCTGTGCTTTAGACTGAGTGTTATTCTACAATTTTGTCCAGTGTGCTGCTGTTGATGCATTGAAGCATTTTATTCCAACATATCTGGTTTCTTCCGGTGAAAAGACTGCTAATGGCATCATCACGAAGTACTTGACCCTTCTAGATGACCCAAATGTTGCTGCAAGACGAGGTGCAGCACTTGCCCTTGGAACATTACCATATGAGTTCTTGGTATTAAAATGGATGCCTGTCATAAGTAAGCTGTGCAGCTCATGCACAATTGAGGTAATGAGATTACCTGAGCCAAATATTAACTCATTCTGTTGATTTGCTTCTGGGATTGTAGAACTGAAACTTCAGTTTCATGAATATGTAGGATAAGCCTGATGACCCTGATGCTGAAGCACGTGTGAACTCTGTTAGGGGGCTAATTTTGGTTTGCGAAACATTAACTGCTTCTGTTGAACACAGCTCAAGTTTTGGCGATTCCATGTATTCATACATTAAAGATAAGGTCATGCAAGCTTTATTTAGAGCACTTGACGATTATGCTGTAGATAACAGAGGTGATGTGGGTTCCTGGGTACGTGAAGCTGCAATGGATGCACTAGAACGGTGCACATTTATTCTCTGCAAGAGAGATAATATTGCAGTGAAAATAACACCAGTTGCTGAGCATGAGTCTAAATCGATTGACATTGACACCAATGCAGTTAACACCAGATGCCAACTATTTGATTCTAGTATTGCACAGGATCTGGTTGCAGGCATTGCAAAACAGGCTGTTGAGAAAATAGATAAGATAAGAGAAATTGCAGTCAAAACTCTGAAGAGGATTCTTTACAATGAGGAACTGTTTGTCCCATCTATACCATACAGGGAGCTGCTGGAACAAATTATACCCAACAGTGCAGATCTGGAGTGGGCAGTAAGTGATTATTCATCAATTTCTCTTCTGTTGTTCAATGTATTGTTTCTAATGCTGGCGTTGCTGTTGTTACAAGACTAGTTGAGGTGCCTATAACTCTGATCTCATAATTCCCATATGCTCAACAATTTATTCTTATTGCTCAAAAAACTTAAGTTATCATGAAAGTGGATTTAAGGGTTTAGATTTACAGTGACCTTGACTTGTAAGTTTATCTATTTCTTGAGTAACTGATTTTTATATTGTTCTATTGAACAAATTTTAGTTGTTTAACCATTGTTGCCTCAGTAATTATTTTCACTGCCAGTGCACATATTATTTAACCATTGTTTAACCATTGTGCACATATTATTTGACTAGGTGGTAGTGTTATCCAGATTTGGCTGACAACACATTTCCTTCGTTAGGTTCCTGCAGTATCATATCCACGATTTGTGAAGCTTCTTCAGGTCAGCTGTTACAGCAAGCCTGTGCTTTCTGGGCTTGTGATTTCTACTGGAGGATTGCAGGAATCTTTGAGGAAAGCTTCAACATCAGCTTTAGTAGATTATCTTCAAGATTCAGACATCAATACAAATGATGAAGGAAAAAACAGAGAATATCTATTGAGTTGTGATCTTCTATGGGTTCTTGAGCATTACCAGAAGTGTGACCGTGTAGTTACTCCCACATTGAAGGTAACAGAAACATAATTATATTGCCGAGCGGCATGTTTCGGTTGATGATTTGAACCAATAAATTTTCACATGATTTTATATACTTTTTCCACAGTCGAGCTTACACATTTATCTTCTTTTTATTAAATGTATGCAGACTGTTGAAACTCTCCTCAGTAAAAAGGTTTTCTTGCGTGAGGTGAGTTTTTACTAATGTTGTGCTGTACACTGTTAGAGGCTAGGAAGTTTGCTGTGGCACATTTGTGAATGAAAAATAAGCACAAAAGATATTTTTGTTAGGCCTTTAAGATTGGGAGGCATGGTAAAGAAAAAGAAAAGAAAAAGAAATAGAACATCATAAGATAAGATAAGAAAAAAGAAATAGAACATTATAAGATTTCAAAGGTTGGAACATGCTCATCGCTGATCAGAATTTGGAGCACATAACTTCATACTGTATCATACTTTTGTAGCTTAAATCTATAACTTGAAAGCCCATGCAGTAGGAAATAACTACAGAAACTGGGTTAGTTCATGGTATTACAGAAAGAATCTTGAAATAATCTTATGATTTACAAGGTACACTTATACCTCCTGGTCTTGCAACACTGAGCAGGGGCATTGTGAGTTCTATAGTGGACTGATAAAATCGCTGGGCCCGGAGCTGAAGGGATCAAAGGACTTTGCAAAGTTAAGCGCAGGTCTCTCAATACTTGGGTACATTTCTTCCCAGTCGGATGGAAATGGCAGCACGGCCTTCTCTCAACTCCTCACATTCCTAGGCCACAGATACCCCAAGGTGAATACTTTCACCATTTGTTGCCTGAGAATTGCAGAACACCACGCAATGATAAATTGAGCTCAGATGTTCTCTCCAAAGTACACAACACCATGCAATGATAAACTGATCTCATATGTTATGTTCTCTACCAACTTGCAGATCCGGAAAGCCGCAGCTGATCAGGTGTACCTCGTACTGCTGCAAAATGATAGTTTGATCGCCGCGGAAAATATGGAAAAAGCCCAGGAAGTCATCGCGGAGACATGCTGGGAAGGTGATGTGGAGGAAGCTAGGCGCAAGAGGTCAGAACTGAATGAGATGGCCGGCTTCGGCGCCGCCACTTCACAGAAGCCTGGGAATGAACAAACAAGGAGGAAAACCGAAGAGAGAAATGCTGCTTCAACTGACGAGAACAAATCTTACTCTTCTTTGGTTGATTTCAGTGGATACTAGGAAGCAGGAAGTTCCGCCTTTTCCCTCCCTGTGCGTTTTTGGTTGTTTTGCGAAATGGTTGAGGCGACACTTGTACACTAGCATTGCCCAATGCCCCAATTGCACAATTTACACTAGTGTAGAAACTTTGCAGAAAAGAATAGTTGTTTTGTTTGTAGCATTTTCTGCCATAGGATTGTACCTTTTTAAGGAACAAGGTGTTGAGTGATTGAAATTGTTTTGTTCGATGAATGAGGCTTCCAGGCGAGGGTTTCACCTTTAGGTGAAAATGCTATGAGCGGAATAGGGGTTTGAAACACGGTGGCGCAAGAGATAAAATTATCGACAAATGTGCTCCTGGATAAATCCCATTTCCAGTTCAAATTATGATTCATGTCACTCGAACAAATCAATCAAAATACTTAACACAGCCAGAAACAACTTGCTAGGTGAACAGTGGTTGCAGCAAGTCGTCAGAACTAACAGGTATTATCACTGGGACAATATCTGCTTCGGAGAGTTGGGCAACTGAATGATAAAAAGAGTAAATTGAAAAATTGTGTTGTCCCATTGACCACATTGTATTCGTATCACTTGCTAGTTTGTGCATAATGCCTGGAGCAATGGCGTCACGGCTTCAACCATGGAAAGACATCAGGTGATGACGGTAATCGCGCTGTCAAAACTTCAACTCCTGTTTCTGTCACCTGAAGAGAAAAAAGGATAACGAAGGGAAACAAGTTCATATGCATAATCCAAAATCATCAAAGACCATAGCTTCCTCACAAAAGAGATTTAGCATGATTATCAAACTGAGGACTGGGATGAGCTTCTTAAAACAAAAAAGGGAGTTTGTCAGTCTGACACTCACCAAAAGGGTGTGCTCAAATTGAGCACTCCGTTTACCATCTGCAGTCACTGCTGTCCACTCATCAGGCCATAGACGGTCATGCCAAACTCCTACAAAAATATAAGAACTGTTTACAAAACTGTGATAGGGGCCTGTCAATATATTTGACAGGTTCGGGATATGGAATTTGACAGTGTAAAAACACTTGCCTGTGTTTATCATTGGCTCAATTGTAAATGTTTGTCCAGCTTTCATTATACCCACGGCCTTGTTTCCTACATTAGAAGGAGACTATTTACTAAGATTGCATGACATTGTGTAGCATTAAACGGAACTTTTACAGATGTCTAACATATACTGCTTAATATAAGAAACGAGGTGCAAGACATGTACTTGAATAATGAGGAATATTTGGGGCACAGTGGAACAATTCTCCTATGCCATGACCACAGTAAGACTTAACCTGAAAGTGAAGGCATTTATTAGAGTAGTTAGGGGGCAGATATACAAAAGAAATACCAGTAGAAGAATTAACTTCACTTTAAGATCAAGTCAGTGCCAATGTAATACTAACCACAGATAAACCTGACATAGATGCATGTCTATTTATTATCTCCCCAACCTCTCGAAACCGAACTCCAGGTTTCACTGCACATGAAAATGTTCAAATGTCATATCTCCTTCCCACAGATAGCTTGCCTTGATGTTTCAATAAATGTAACAGAAACTTCAGATAAATGAGCAATCATATGTTTGAAGTTTAAACATAACCAAGGCATAAAGCAAGGTAGATTGCTACTAACACAAGATTGAAACTGAAGGAATCACCTATTGCAATAGCTTTATCCAAGCACTCATAGGTACAACGGACAAGCTGCTTGGAAGCTTCATCAACATTTCCAACAAAATATGTCTCGTTCAAATCACCTGCAGTTTAGTTATATATTGTGTCAAAAAACCAACAACTTTCAGCAGCGAAATACAATACCAGGCTGCAGAGAACTTACCATGAACTCCTTTGTAATACACAGTTACGTCGACATTTACAATGTCACCATCTTCAAGTTTCCTGTTAGAGAAAGATCAGATAAAAACTTAAATCTTTCTAATGCAAAGCAAAGTTAGCAAAAGCACTACTGAAAGATTAGCTTGATGTATAAATTGAAGGGGAACCTGGCATCTGGAATTCCATGGCAGATGACTTCATTGACTGACCTGGATACCAGCGACAACAATGTGAGCATATCATATTCCTTTAAGCCTCTAAATAAGCAATAAGTTAAAGGCAACCTACGTGCAACATGACTTCGGGAAGAAATGGTAATTCAATGGAGATGGATATCCACCTGAGGACCAAGAACAGAAATTATGACAAACAAGCATATATAGAACTCAAGACAAGACATATCTGATAACCAGGGAAGTACATGGAACCTATAGAACCTAGCAAACTACAAGGTTTCATTAAGCATTGATGATACAATCAGGTAAAGGTTAACCAGACCTCTAGCAACTGTCTCCTCATGAACCACTCTATCAATTTCATCTGTTGTAATTCCTGGTTTGATTATGCGAGCAGCTGCATCTAAAACTTCTCTTGCGATCTAACAGTAGCAGCATGGAGTAGAACACAAATGGTTAGGGAAATGCCAGAATAATATTTCAGTGAAAAATTGTAAGTACTGCAAGCTTACTCGGCATGTTTCTCTCATCCTTTCAATTTGCTCAGGGGTCTTGATCTACACAGCAGTGAGTAAAAAAAATCAGACATATATTTGCATAATATATATGGTAATAACAGATATGTCCATAACTCTACCTCTACTCTTTTCTGCAAATCGCTATCTGGTTCAATCTTGGGGGTTCCCTAAAAATGTTTGACAATGTCAGCCTGTCAGGGGATATGTACCAGAGCAGCTTAGAAGATAACAACAGACTGTGGTCCAACTTAATGAGCCTCTTTCTTGTTTTACAAAGCTATCAGTTCAAATGGTATTCTTAACAAGACATGATGAAAAGGTCACGAGGGAACACAAACACAAAAACAAATTAATACTTACATCAAGCGCCCAATCAGGCTTCTCAATTTTATCTGGTACCACACACATCTTTGATATTGGATATGGTCTCAATGGACTGCAAAGAATTCAGGTAAGAATATGTACTAATGGTCCTAAATCTAGCAAATCAGTAAGCATGCTCAGTACTAACAGGTTCATTAATAAATTTAATAGTCTCCTTTGCAAATGAAGTTATTAATAAATTCACGAGCAAGCAAGTTTAGTAAGCTTCAAGAAACAGAAGCATGGTTTGTGGGCTCAACAAAAAGGAAATGCAAATACATGGTGACATACCCTGTCCAATCAAAACGAGGAAGCTGCGATGTGCGTGTCCGCCCTTTTTTCAAACAATATTGCCAACCCTCTGGAGTCTGTTGTAGTGTCAATGCATCTAGCTTTATGTGGACAGACTTATGAGAGCTCCATGCTTCCTTGAAGCAATCCTGTGTGCTGTAAGCAATTGATGAATACGAAAGCATCAAATATTTTCGTTCATAATGCTGAAGTTCGTAATGTTGCATTCATAATGAAAGCTAGTATGCTCCCAACTCCAAAGATGTGTCAATCAATTATGACAAGATGCATTTTCTTCAGTGTCAATACACTACCTCCATTACCATTCCCCAGTAATGAAGTCCATTTAACGATTATGAAACAAAAGTAAAAAAGTTTACTGGACCAGGATCAACTTCATAGGACACAAAAATTCCCAAATTTACATAATGCCAGAACTGCATGATACAGCTAGGGATGCAAGCGGGCCAACTCGCGAACATATTTATATGTCAAATAAGTGGTAAACCACGGGTTTTCGCGTCGTGGTCCGACTTGCCGCATTTAAAGATGCGAGTGGGTTGATCCATAAGTTCATTTAAAGGTCTTATTTATATCCGCAGGTTACCCAATAATTTTACCTATAAGCAGGTTCGCCCGCTTGCATCCCTAGATACAGTAAATGGTAAAATGACTGGAAGGCTTTATTAATAAGATTACCCCCCACACTTGCCAATCTATTCAGAAGGTTCCGCCAGAACTCAAACAAAACTGCTGATATCCAATAATTCTTTGTCTGCTACTTATACAGTTATACTCCTCCTAAGTATCAAGAACATGTGAACCGTCACTACTGATTGTGCTGTACTACAAAGCTGAAGTAAGTGAAATGAGAGCTTGTGAGCTGTGACTGACCAGAAAGCAGCGCCCTCCCGCAGAAGCTTCAGCTGCGCGCACTTGGGGCATCTGAAAAACAGCAAAAAAAGAAAAAAAAAGTAAAGAACCCGACTTGATTGGAGAAGCCTCTTCTTACCGGCAGGCAGCAGCAAGAAGACGTACTGAAGCGACGCCGGCTTGCCGCAGCGAGCGCAGGCGATCGACGACTCGGCGCCCCCCTTCTCCATCCCCCCCCCCCAAGCTGCTCTGCTCCCCACCACGCGCCGCGCGATTTGGATCCATCCACCCAGAGTAAAAGGAACCACGGTTACATGACGACTCTCAGCGAAGGAGCCAAAAGCGGGAAAGAAGCGCCCGCCGACGGAGAACGGACGGACACCTCACTCACCTGCGGTGGCGGAGGCTAGGTCTCGGGCGGTCGGGTCGCCGCGCTTGCCGTCGGTGGCGGCGGCGGCGGCGGCGGCGGCGGCGAGAGGGAGTCGAGCAGAGAGAGAGAGAGAGAGAAAGAGAGAAGGGTTTTGTTGCTGCTTTGCTTCGAGACAAGGAGAAGCGTGCGTTTGCTTACGTGGACACGGGCCGGGCCGCCCCAGCCCGCGATATGGAGGCCCATGAGGCTTCTTCCCGGCCCAGCTTAGATTCGGCCATCTAGTCTTTTCTGATTTTAGGGCCATTTTGGTTTGATAAAAAACATGCGCTACCAATTTATTGGCAAATTGAATAGTATGTGTGTTAGTTTATTGAGGCCAAATATTTGGTGGTGCTCCTATCTTATTTGATCATAATCTAGAAGTTTATCCACTATACTATGAGAATTTGGCTTTATATTGAAAACAATCCAAATATTAGCTAAATAATTTTACCCTACCTAAGTTTGCCTAGACTTTAACACTACCAATAAATTAATAAATTGGTAGGGTAAAGAACCAAATAAGCCCTTAGACTATACGTCTACAAATCTGTTTGGGGGAGCTTTAGATTCTGAGAAGCAACTGTTTGGTAGCCAGCTTCTGAGCTTCTCCAGTTTATGGCTTCTTAGTTTATTTTTCAGAATCTGTAACTGTATATTCTCAGAAGCTGTGGACTGTTTGGGACAGCTTCTAGCAGAAGCTAAAACAAGCTCCCACAAATAGGGCCTACGTTTCGTTTTGTATGAGATCGAACTATCTATATAATTTTTTTTAGATAATGGAAATGGGTTACATCTTCGGCCTCTGCCCGTAGGCACACAGCCAAAAAATTCAGAAGTGAACAGAAAAGAACTTAAGAAAGGCGAGATGGGACAAACCCCCAACTTCTGCCGATAATATGATCTACTAAAATAATGTTTTTTAAAATCGCATAGATTCTATCACGAAATTATGTAGTTACTACGCCATCCAAACTGGAGTAAAAGTTCCTTGGCTACCAATTCCAAGCGTGTAGCATCATTGCGCATAGTACCCTGTTGTTCCTGTGAAAGCATCATATATCAAGAGTGGAGCCAATTGGAACACATGAAGATAACATGCATGATGTTAGTCATTTTTTTATGGTTAAAAACTATATCATTACGGCAACGCCAAATTGACCAACATAGAGCACTAGCTCTAAATAAAATCATTTTTTTGGATCCAGGCACTCCCCTTAGCTAGTTACCAAAAATATCTTTTGCATTGTACGGAGGGGGATATTGAAGGCAAAGAAGACACATCGCCAAACAAAACATGCAACATGACAGTCAAAAAAAAGATGTTAGATGGTCTCTTGTGTATTAAAAACAACATTGCTTGTTTTCCCTCCATTTTCTCTTTATGAGGTTATCTTTCGTCAAGATTACTTTTTTTTAAGAAGCCACATAAATACTTTCTATATAAAATTACTTTAAAATATTAAAAGCTATTTATAATTAAAAATTATAATATTAACACTCGACTTCATCTAGAGTGACGCTGCTGCCGAGATTTCCAATAAAATTCTGCCGCTGCTGCGCTTCTTCCCTGGCATACTGAATTTACTGAGGTTTCTGTAGCGATGAAACCGGGGCCCCACAGAAACATTCGTCAGTTATTAATGCAACGGCTTCTTCTCTTCAAAACAGCCGTAAAAATGGAGCAGGAAACGGACCAATACACAAACACAAAAAGGTGTGAAAAAAAAAATTACTCCATCTTTCCTCTAATATAAGGTGTTGGAAATTTGGTCATAATTCGGCATATTTTAATCCAAAATAACAAGATAATAAACATGATATTTACAATAGGATTTGATCCAGTGATAGTGGTGAATGTAATCAACATGAGCATGCTTAACGTTGAATAAGCATCAACAATCACATAATGACACAATGTTGACATTGCGATGAACATTAACAGTAAAACTTCTAATTGAAATAATGTAATAAGGTTATACCCCAAGAATGGTCATCCGCTGGAGTTTGAGGCAGTATTGCCTCCGTTGGTGTTGACGGGAGTCTCCTTCTCCTTGTCTCCAGTGTTCGACATGTTGGTGAAGATGAAGTAGATGTTGACGAACAGTGAGTAGTCGCACCTTGCGCTCCCCAAAAACCTGATCGCCCGCCCGTCTGTGCAAACGTCGCAGCAACGCGTGGTTTCGGAGGCCTACTCTCCCAACGCGTGTGTACACACTCGTCGGGATGGGATTACCGTAGCAGCAACAGCTTTTGAATATGGATGAAAGTGTGTCTTCTTCTTCTCGTGGGAGATCAAATCCATTCTCATTTTATAAGAGGAATGGAAGATGAAGAGTAAGAGTCATGGAATAGGAAGAGGAATGGAGCAACTAATTGTCATCAACTAGCCATGAACCATCCTCCACTACACAACCATCAACCAACAATCAATTAAGAGTAATTGATGTAAGTTACCAATGGAATAGGAAGAGGAATAGAGCAACTAATTGTCATCAACTAGCCATGAACCATCCTCCACTACACAACCATCAACCATCCATCAATTAGGACTAATTGATATAAGTTACCAATTCCTTAATCAAATGGATTAATTCTCAAAACTCTTCATCCCATTGATATCCCATAGAAGAATGAATTCACATGAATTCCTAGCATAATGAGCCTTGGAATTTATTTGATTTAATTGATTTAAATGGATTAATTACCCAATTAAATCTAACAATCCCCACCAAATTTCAAGGCTCATGAGAATGCTCTCTATTCCATAGCAGCTTTTATATACCAGTGTTTCGGTGAAGACTGTTAAGTTGAACTTTCACCTAGAAAAGGAGCTACACCTGACCACAATTGAACAATGGACTATGCCTTGAATTGTCAGTCTTGTGCAGTTAGGTTTCACTCAATTCCATAACTGATACTAGGCAACCATTAGTATTCCCTCGGGTTGGAGCTTATAAGTCATACTCCAGGCCTTTCATGAGTATCTAGAGATCACCCAAATCTCATAGACTGTGACTAGCAGTCGAACTCATATAGGTGTGTTCCTTCTAAGATGTTCTGCAGGTCAACATCTCTGCTTGGAAAAGCCACTCGGATCACATTAAGACATAAGCCATCCTACCATGCAGGAAAGAAGAGAAGCACATCATGAAAATGAGCCCTTTTCAAGGGTCTCTTCTCTCAGTCACACAATAGTTTGTTTCACCATCCAAATTCACGGGATCTTCGATCATAATGGACAGGTTTCCACTATTATGCAACCTTAGGTGGGTATCAAGCCCATTTCCCTCGATGCACTGTCTATCACATTACGTGGTAGCCCCTTGGTAAACTGATCTGCCAGATTTCTAGCCGTTTAGACATAGTCCAATGCTATCACTCCGGAGTTTTTCTGCTTTCTGACAGATTTCAGTCTTCTCTTGATGTGTCTAGATGACTTCATGTTGTCCTTTGAACTGTTCACTTTAATAATCACTGTTTGATTATCGCAGTTCATTAGGATAGCTGGCACTGGTTTTTCAACCACCGGCAAATCCATCAGGAGTTCACGAAGCCACTCGGCCTCAACTGTCGCAGTATCTAGTGCTGTAAGTTCTGCTTCCATTGTTGACCTCGTTAAGATGGTCTGCTTGCAAGACTTCCAGGAAACAGCGCCACCTCCAAGTGTGAACACATATCCACTTGTGGCTTTTATCTCATCAGCATCAGATATCCAGTTTGAGTCACTATACCCTTCTAGTACTTTTGGATACCCGGTATAGTGAATTCCATAGCTCATAGTACCCTTTAGATAGCGCATTACTCTTTCCAGAGTCTGCCAATGATCATCTCCCGGATTTGAGACAAACCGGCTCAGCTTACTTACAGCAAATGAGATGTCAGGCCTCGTTGCGCTAGCCAAGTACATCAATGAACCAATGATTTGAGAGTATCTCAACTGATCCCTTGCTATTCTTCGGTTTTTCCTTAATAGCACGCTGGGATCATAAGGAGTAGGAGCTGGCTTGCAGTCACTATATCCAAAGCGACTCAAAACCTTGTCCACATAGTAGGATTGCACAAGTGTAATCCCACCCTCATCTCCTCTTTGTAGTTTGATGTTAAGAATAACATCAGCCTCTCCCAAATCTTTCATTTCAAAACTCTTGGACAGATAGTCTTTGACCTCCTCAATCACATTAAGGCTGGTCCCAAAGATCAGTATGTCATCGACATATAAGCACAAGATCACCACTTCTCCCCCACCATAGCGATAGTATACACATTTGTCAGCTTCGTTCACAACAAAGCCTGCAGATGTAAGCGTGGTGTCAAACTTCTCATGCCATTGCTTAGGTGCTTGCTTGAGGCCATACAAGGATTTCAATAGTTTACACACCATTCCCTCCTGACCTTCTAGTACATACCCGTCTGGTTGATCCATATAGATCTCCTCCTCCAGCTCTCCGTTTAGGAAAGCTGTCTTAACGTCCATCTGATGGACGAGAAGACCATGAGAGGCTGCCAGAGCAAGTAGTACTCGAATCGTGGTCAAGCGAGCAACTGGTGAGTATGTGTCGAAGAAGTCCTCGCCTTCCTTTTGGGTATAACCCTTGGCCACAAGCCTTGCCTTGTACTTTTCGATTGTACCATCAGGCCTAAGCTTTTTCTTGAAAACCCATTTGCATCCTACGGGCTTGCACCCATATGGACGCTCAACGACTTCCCAAGTACCATTAGACATAATCGAGTCCATTTCACTGCGTACTGCTTCCTTCCAGTAGTCAGCGTCAGGAGATGAATATGCCTCTTCTATGGTTCTTGGGGTGTCATCCACGAGGTATACAATGTAGTCATCTCCAAAGGATTTTGCAACCCTTTGTCTCTTACTCTTGCGAGTATCTACAATGTTGTCCTCCTCAGGATTTTCCTCAGGCGTTTGATCATTGTGTTCTATCGGTGCAAAGTGCTCATGGGGCATGATTGTTTCTTTACTAGAAGTGCTAGGTGTATATTTCATAGGAAATTCATTCTCAAAGAATGTAGCATCTCTGGACTCAAGAATTGTACCAACATGCATGTCGGGTACTCCAGAGTTTACTATTAAGAATCTATAACCCACACTGTGGATAGCATAACCAA